GTTGTAAAAATCAGCTAACTAGGTGTGTTTCCACTGAAGACAGAGTACACCGGCCTAAGAGGTGAGGAACCAACAGTCTGCACACGCATACTATGTGTGTAAAATGGATGCATATGCAAAAGTCAAGTTCTGAACGTATAGAAGTGGACGAACAACCAGAACTTTGGGCTGGAGTTTAATGCTGGTGAACACAATGAAGAAAAAAAAAAAGTAGTAGTAGTTTAACTATGATAACAGACAGAAAAAGAATAAAAATGGGGATAAATGACAGAAGTTGAAATGAATGTATTATAATAATCTTCTTTGTTCTCCCACAGAAAGTCCTGGTTGTTCATCGATTTGGACTTTGGCTTTGTGCCAGAGTTTTGCGTACACATCCGTTTTACTGGCTTATTTGTGTGTAGATGGTTGTTCCTTGCTGCTCGGGCAGATGCACTTTAACTTCAATGGAAGTCCCCAATTAGTCGACTCCTACGACATGCTTGTTGAGCAGGCAGTGGGTCTATTGTTTGGGTCCCCACATTGGGGCTCCAGAACCCATATGGGAAATAATAAAAATAAAGTTAGTTGTTTATCTTTTGTAGAATGTTGCAAAATCAACCCAGCATTTTTTGTGGGCTGGTCTTGTTTTACCATGAAATTTAACGATCAGGAGTTTTTGAAAAAAGTGAATGCTCAAGGACAACTATCACAAACATCAGAAAGAGACAGTCATCATTTGTTGGTCATGTTATAAGAGGGAAAATGGAACATGTTGTGACCACTGGAAAGATCTGTGGAAGAAGAGACAGAGGAAGACAGCATGAAAAGATTCTCGACTGTCTTCTGTCATGGAGGAGTGTCAACACACAAACTTATACACACAGCTGCTGATTGCAGATTGCGGAGAGGCATGATCGCCTACGCCAGTCAGCAAGATACTTGATGATGATGAGTATTTGCCACTGCTTTCTAAATGGCCGGCGCTCAATACCATCGTCAAAATCAATGACAAGCGATGTGCTGACAAAACACTTGCAGCTAGAATTGAACCGCCCACCTCGGAGTTACAACACACCGCCTAGGCGATAGATCAACTAAAATGGATATAAGAAGACTAGTTTACAAAATTCTATGAACACAAGAACAGACGCACTGCCTCCCCAACAAGCATGTTGTAAGAGTCGACTAAGTAGTGGCTTCCTTTGCAATCGGGGTGCATCTGTCTGAGATGCAAGAAACCAAGGGTCTGCATACAAATAAGTCAGATCTGTCAAATGGATGCACACACTTCTTCTTTGCTTGGGGAGACAGTGGGTATGTTCTTGTTTTCCTCACAATGGTGCCTGTGAACCAACAGGGGGAATGTGTGCACACAACACTCAGGTTCTGGAATAAAACTAGTCCAGAGTGCATGACAAACCAAAACTTTCTGTCAGAGTTTGCAGCCGGTGAACACAAAGAAAAGAATAAAACAACTTTCTGCAAAATGAAAATCATAAGAAAGTTTTGCATCTGTGGGTTACCCAACAAGGTCTCATGATGCTGAATGGTAAAGAAAGAGTTAATGAGACAACTGCAATCAGAATAAGACAGAAAGATTTCCTATCTGGGCTAACCACTGAACACATGTTGTATGGCACAGATACATTTGTTTTATAAATTATTTACGGACAGTTTTAGTGTGTGTATATAGGCTTAAAGCTTTGCTAAAGATTTAAACAATTCAATCTGTTAATATAATAAAAGATGGAGTTGCCAAACAATGAAATGCACATCATTTCAGTTACACTTTAATAAAGATGAAGAAGTATCTACACTTATGGCACACATCTCAATGTACCAGTCCATAAATAACTTGGTTACAAGTAATTAAATTACTATAAATGGCAGCACAGAGACCCCAAGACTTTTTTTTTGGTTCAAAATTCTGAGTCAGGTTTATGTCTACCATACAGGTCTATTCTTAAACATATTTGTGTTAATATACCAACTATGTTCACCAAAAAACTGGTTTAGTGGAATATAATTGTGGTATCCTATCAGAGGTACATTTAATGGTGTATAGCCATTGTCGGGAGTGGTGCCCTCCTTAGGTAGTAAAGGTTTGCACTCTATACCCGCCAGATGTTGACTTTTTTGTTTTGAATTTTTTTGTGCGTTAAATCTGAAAACTCATCATACATGATATGCAGCTTGTGATTATGCACACACAAAAAAAAACCTAAATTTTCTATGTTCTAGTTCCCGTTAAGTCGGCTCTGTGGCTAAGTCGATGCAAATGCTTCGTAATGCCGGGTTCCATCCCAGCTGCGGGCCATGCGCCTTGCATTGGTTTTGACAGAGGGATCAAGAAAGCCGACCGCCCAGAAAGCAATGGCAAACTACTGGATGTAAATATGCCTAGAAAAACCACACAACAGCTAGAGCTGTTGGGGTTGGTTATGCAACGTCCTGTAAAGTATACACAACTAACCTTAGTTCCCGTTAGTCACAGTGGTTTCCATGGTTTATAAAAAAAAAAAGTAATGTTATTACAATTTATTTAACCCCAGGAAGCAGTAACTTAGTTGATTCTCTGCTCTATTCTCTAGCATGCATGTGTATGCTGGCGCAGTCTGTCAATCTTTCCACAGGGGACTGTGATAAACATTTGTGTGTTTTTTGTTGGCACAGGAGCTGAGCAACTATCGGTTACCTGTCTGCTATGAAGCTGAAACTAAGATTACCAGATCTGCTGTATTCATTTTTACTGATTTATTTCATCAATGCACAATTTTTGGTTTGTTTGTTTCTGTCTGTAACTAGATCTGCTAGAAAGTTTGTTGTGAACTGTGTAAAATGTTTTAAATGAATATTTTTCATGAGAACTGAAATTCCTAAATAACAGGTTTTGGCATTGTTTTTTTTCTTCCTCTCTAGGTCATCAGGGCAAAAGGGTCAAAACAGATAAGGTTACAGAGAAACTCAACAACCAGACCAGATTACTAATGTCAGATAATGACTATACAGTCAGAAAATTAGAGCAGGAAACTGAAATGAATGAAACATGAAATACAAACATTTAGAATAGAGAAAGCCAAGATGTTTAAAATGATCAACATCAATCAGCAAGTCCTTTACAGAACGTCGCCCTCTTTGCGGCACGCCTGAAAGTATCCCTTTCTCTTGCTAGCTCTCTGGCCCCATATGCTTTCAATGCCAATGCTTCTTCTATGTCCTGTATCCATCTTTGGGGTGGTCGAGCCCTGCCTCGCCTTCTACCTACTGCACCCTCCATCACTATCTTTTGAAGTGGCCAAAATACTTCAACTTTTGGGTCAGGATGCTGTTTATGAGCCAGTTCTTCTTGATGCTCGACTCGTTAAGAATGTCACGTTTTTCCTCTTCTTTATCAATGGTATTTTTTCTACAACATTTCAATGAAAATTTCAAATCTTTTTCCTCAGTGATCGAGTGAGAGTCCAGGACTCGCAACCCTGAGTTGCCACAGGAAAAATGCAGGAACTTAAGATTTTTACTTAAACAATTTACTAGTGCTTTGCCATAGGTTCTTCATGCTGTTTAAAATGATAAAACACAAAAATAATTTTAAATTACATTAAAACATTTATATAATTACATCTTTAACTCTACTGATACTTATTAACACAGGTATTGATTTATAACTAATGTAACTGTTCTGTTACTAAAAGAGTTAAGGGCAACACCATTAATGAAAGTCTAAGTAAACACACGTTGGTGATCAATATACAGTACTAAACTGTTCTTATGCCACACTAAGCTAAACAAGAATACAGAAAAAAAAAGGCATTTAAAATATATACAGAAAATAATCTATTTAAATACAGTGCTATAATGCTACAGATAATAACAAGTATTAAATTAGTTACACTACATGTGATACAAGGAAGAATTCTTTCCCCAGCAGTTTTTTCATAAAAAAATCCTTTAGCCAAACTGGCAAGGACAAGACGTTTAGCCACTTCATATTTTAAGCAAAACACATGCCAAATTCTGAACAAAATTAAAAAAAAAAAAAAATCTATATTTTTAATTAATTGTAGTTTTTATATTTAAAAGTTAGAGCATTTTTGAAAACAAAAGTCCTACATTTTAAAATAAAATATTTACAAGTTCTCAGAAAACATTATGTTAATTATTCAATACTAGATCAAATGCATAAGAAAGTCAAACAATAAATACACTAGTGCAATTACAACAAACAATACTTTTACAATTTGCACTGGATATTAACAGCAAAAACAAAAACAACTGTTTACATTAACCGTAATTTACAGTCTAAATATATAAACCCAAATACATCGAAATATAAATATGTACAACTACAACATACAAGACCGAAACATTGTTCTAAATTGAATACCTAAGTAAGATGCCAAAATCTGCAACCGTAAAACATTAACTGTATACACCTAAAACTGAAATAATGCGGATTCACCATTAATTGCTCAGTTTACTGCCTGCCATATTTCGCTGTATATCGTGGGTGCATTACTACGGACTTATAATGAAGCACACACACAAATCAACTAAAACCAGCCATAGCAGTAACAGAACAAATTAACAATCCTGAATTGTGCAAACAAAAAGAACAAGTGGTAAATTTGAAACTGCCCTGGTAATGACACAGCTAATCTCAAACTTCCTGACATGTACAGCAAAATATGCCAAGCAATAAACTGCAATTTACTGCTTGTGTGTGCATTATTTAAATTTACAGATGGAAAACATTGTTTTGAATACATCTAAAAGTCAAATTAATATTTTATAAATCTTCAAAATCTCTAAGCTATGTACAAAAACTGTGTGTATGCCTGGCAATACAAGTGTTAACTGACTATAATAACGGTTTTAGATATCCCAATCCATATCTGTGATATAAAAAGATCTTGCAGAAGACTGGCAATCCCTGTCTTGTCTTTGTAATGCAGTATTCTGCAGTCAGAAACCTTCAGAAGTTGAACTACTTGAATAAGATGCCCTAATCTTTGCCAGCATCAAACTTTTCTCTGCATCTTCTGCTGAAGTACCTGGAATAAATACATACACAATTTAAAGGACTTAAGACCTTTGTGTTGATTTAACTGTCTGTACATATAGGAAACATCTGACCTGTTAAGATGCACAGTCCATAGCTTGAAATATATGACTATGCCTGGTTGCAGTTTTTGACTTAAACAAAATAGTACGCCTAAGCATAAATATTAAATCCCTGTGGTTCAGCAAAATGCCAAAGAGGAACAAGCTAAATATGCATGCCAGTTCCCACTTTTACACTAACAATTACAAATTGGTTCTGATGAAGAAGAAGAATGGCACAATATGTTCTGTATCAAGGAAATGTTCTGTAACAATGATACAAAGACGGTGCAAATTAGGCTTGTTTTTAAAACTGTACTGAAATGATGTAAAAATCTGGCATTTTCTGTAACATTGATAAATATATGGTGTGTGCCTTAGGGTCCATCTTTTGCTCAATAATATCTGCTTTCTGCCGCTAGGAGTCTTAAGCTGTCAGTGACTCCTTCAATCTATCTTCCAGGTCTCCGTCTGCCTCTTGGTGTTTTCAAGAGGTTTATATTTTCCTGCTGTAAGCTCCAGCTGCCAGCATTGTTGCATTTTCTCACTATATAGTCGAGCCACTCAAGTCTTTATGTCTCAATGAATTTAATGATGGATACTGTTCCATTTGTTTTCTAATCTCTTAATTTCTTATATAAGCTTCTCCGGTTTGTTCCATAGGTTGTTAGTTTTCTTTCATGTTCTTTAGTTAATATCCAAGTGTGACACAGGTAACCTAAAGTTGAAATGATTGTATTTAGAATTTTCCTTTTATCTTTTCTGGAATAGTCGGGTGCTGCAAGATTGGGGTAATTTAATAAGTAACACTGCTGGCTGGTTGGATTCTTGTTTCTGTGTCTATGTCAACCATGTTCAACCTGCAGCTGGCGGAGCTGTCAGTAGCCTTCGGTTATATTTACAAAGTGTGTTGGCTGCTAAGATTGTAGCATGTGTGCTGGGTTACTGATTTTGCGTCCCTAACCAAATAAACAGTCCACATCTCTCTGTCTGGGTTCCATGTTTTATCTTCTTTCTGACTGAGTCTCCTTGTTTTTTGTCCAGGTGTCTTATGATATGTAAAAATGCTCACCAAGTGCTTTTAAAGTATCATCATTATCCTTTGTGTGCCCTTATCATATAGGACCCCCCCCCCCCCCCCCCCCCAATTCCTCCACTCAGGTCTATTACTTTCTAGATTTCTGACGTGTTCAGCCCAGCATTTTTAGTCTATTGCAATAATTACCTTCTAAATGTTTGACTTGGACGTCCTCTTTTTCTCAGACCATGTGTTTCCTATTTCAGTGCTTGTTTTGTAATTCTCTGTTTATTTCGTTTCAGAGTGTGCCCAATATATCTCCACCTTCCTTGTCTTACTGCAGTCAATACTGGTATTTGTTGAGACATTTCTCTGATCTCCTCTATTTTTTTAATTGATCCCATTTTATCTTCATGATTTTTCTGACATTTACTTTCAAATGCAATTAGTATTTCACTCCATACCTTTGGTGGTTCTCCAACTCTACAGGCATATGTTAGAACTAAAAAACAACATTGGAATTGAAGATTTGTAGTTTGGTCGTCAAGATGTATAACTTGGAGCTCCATATTTTGTTGAGAATTTTTAAGACTGTTGTTGCGTTGCCAAAGCGTATCACAATTTCTTTCGCTGTATCTCCTTGAGTCAAAACTGCAACCTAAATAGCCTTTAAATATCTAGTTTTAAATGTGACAAATCACTGTGTGTGTATGTGCGTACACATATGTGTACATGCGTGACATCATCTTCTTCTTTTTCTGCCTTTCTATCCCCCCAATGGAGAATAGGCCCTCAACCAACTCACGCCAAGTCGGCCTATCCTTCGCTATTACGTGGAGCTCTACCCATCTTTCTAACTTCATTCTCCAGCTCTCTTCTTCATTTTTTTTTTTTGGCCTTCCTTTATTCCATTTGCCCCTGTGGGTTCCCATGCAAAGACATTCTAGTTGTACATGCATGCTTGTAAACAAAGAGAAAATTCAGCCAACCTTATCCAGGGTGTCCACATCTTGTTGCAACTGAAGCCTGAGGTGCTGCAGCTGCTGTACGCCGAGCTTGTCTAGTTCACTGTTCCTGGACAGAGCGTAGATATAAGGGCCACCTGCCATGGAGATCAGCTGCTGCATGCGGAGGTTCTGGTTCAACACCTGGGGAAATTGGGCACATACTTGTTTGATTCCGCCACACCGAGTAATTAAAAAATAAAAATTTGAAAACAAGAACAAAACAAAACATGTAATCTTCTTCTTCAGGTTCACCAGCTGTAAACTCTGGGGGGAAGGTTCTGGTTGTTCGTCCACTACTGGACTGCATTTCTGCTCCAGAACCTGAATGTTGCAGGTGCATCCATTTCATATATGACTCATTTGTATGCAGATGTCAGAAAAGTTCTGGTCGTTCGTCCACTTCTGGACTGCAGCCCTGTTCCAGAAAATGAATGTTGCATGCACATCCATTTTACAAATAACTCATTTGTATGCAGACTGTTTTTTCCTTGCCTCTCAGGCAGATGCACTTCAAAAAGTGACTCTTATGACATGCTTTTGGGTAGACAGCTGATGTATTCTTGTTTTCCCTACTATAGAGTCCAGGAACCCAAACGGGGAGAAAACTAAATAAAAAAAGGTTGTTTCATGTCAGTTTTCACTGACCAATGGCACCTCATGGGTAAGGTGATCAACATCACACCAGCCACCTTTACTTTTGAGGACTTACCTGGTATCCATTTTAGGCTAAATCAATCCGGAAGCCAAGGTAATGTTTCAACAAATTTAGCAAACAAGCTGCTAGCCACTACGGCTTCTTCAGCCAAACCAGCCCATAAGAAAATCAGTGATATATTATTATTTAATATCTATTAGAAGATTTCAACAAACATCTTTCTCTGCTTCTCTAATCTGTGTGCAGTCAGTCCATGGAGACAACAATTAAAAGGTGAGGGATAAAGTCGCTTCTATCCATAGGGTTAAGCTTGGGGTATTATTGCAGAGATCACGTGTTGCTCTGCAGCTCTCAAGTGGCTGGAGAACAAGATGCATACATATGTTGTAATTGTAACACTCTGAAGGTATGCTAAGAAAGGTGAAGACAGGGATGCTTTGAGCAGAGTGGCAAGCTTCACTGGGACAGTCACGGGTAGTGAGCATACTTTAGATATTTTCTCTAGGCTATGCCAGCGCAGTGGGTAATGAACAGGCAGACAGATTGGCTGAATCTGCACCACTGGGTGGTGAATTGATACACGACAAGGCAGATGTGGAAAAGGCCCTTTGGCAACAAGCAATGGAATCAGTAGAGAAACAAGATTATGGCCTGGAGAGAATAAGGCACCTGGGTGTAACCAGAGGGTCTGGTTGACTCACTACACTCAGAGGAAAGGCAAGACAAACATATAACCAGATTGAAACCGGTACCATCAGTATTGGAACTCTGCAATGAGGACAAAGCATACATGGGAATGGTCGAGTGCTATGATGTCAATTCTTGACTCAACTCAAGTGTTGCTCATGCAGCAAGATTCCCCTGTTCAAAAGAAAGGTAACGATACATTTGGAACAAAGCAGGCTGCATTAGCTGTTTGGTCAGAAGACAGGTGCTCAGCTCGTCTGCTTGTCGAAGCTTCGCTTCTAGACCAGCTGCCAGTCAAGGTTAAAAGATTAATGCCACACTAATACAGCCTCATCTTCAGCAGAATCACAAAGTTCCAATTTTGATGGTAGCAGAAGCAGTCTGTATGTCTGTCTTGCCTTTCCCTTGACTGCCATATGCCGTGGTCACTCCCCATTCTCTTCAGACCATAAAAATCTATCTGTGCCTCCTCACTGTTCACCAGAATGTAAGGGCCCTGACAACATCTAACTTGTCATACAACAATTTATCACCAAGTCTGCCAGCCTTTTCATTTCCCAACATACCAGCATGACCTACTGAAAATATCTTTGCTAACTACTGGATTCTCAAGCCAGTAGAAGGCTGCAGTGACTGCCTCCACCTCCATTCATAAACCAGATGCTTCTCTAACTAAATTTGTCAGTCTATTACAGACTTGGAGATACTTTGTGAAAGTCGTATCCTACCTCTTCTTTCTGTTTAACAGCCTGCTGTTTTTCATCTTCCGCAACCCTGGCCTTCTTGTTAGCATCTTCTGCCTCCTTTTTCCAAGCTTCACAGGCCTGTAAAATAAACAATTCCGGCAATTCTTCATGTGCATGATACAATGTATAATTCATGATTGTACTTCACAGCATACAAAAGAAATCTGCAAGAATGTATTTATTTTTGTCTAAATGCGTTATATGCAACTTTAAGAAAGAGACAAGAGATATTCTTTGGTCACATGATGAAAGGCACCAGCGAGATCGCCTGAACCCATATAGACAGATACAGATGCCTCAATTATAATGTCCATGGAGGTTGAATGGGGTATCTGGGATTTGCCAGTCAGCCTGAGATAATATATTTTAATGAACTGTATTACTACACAAGTTCTTCAAGCTAATAGCACAAAGAACCTATGGCTTGGCACTTGCAAGCAAGTTAAAGTCCAACTGTTGAGATCACGTATGTTTCCTGTGGCATCTTATGGATGTGAGTCTTGGACTGTCACACAGTCTTTGAAGAAGGAAACTGGAGCTTTTGAACTGAAAGGCTACAGAAAAATTCTTAGAATACCATGGGCCAAGAAGAAGAAAATGCTTACATCCAAGGAATCATCTCAACAGCAAGGAATCACCACATCATCAAGGAATCACCTCAACAGCAAGGAATCACCTCAACAGCAAGGAATCACCACATCATCAAGGAATCACCTCAACATCAAAGAATCACCTCAACATCAAGGAATCACCTCAACATCAAGAAATCACCTCAACACCAAGGAATCACCTCAACATCAAGGAATCACCTCAACATCAAGGAATCACCTCAACATCAAGGAATCACCTCAACATCAAGGAATCACCTCAACATCAAGGAATCACCTCAACAACAAGGAATCACCTCAACATCAAGGAGAACTGGCTGGTAAACAGCATCCACTCCGAAAGCTGGCATATTCTGGACAGGTCAAGCCCCATGGTGGTCTGGAGAGGACAGTGATGGGAGGGTGCAATTTCTGGAAAACAAGGCAGAAGCCAACCTCCGCAAAGATGGATCCAGGGCACTGAAAATGAGCTGGCTATGAAAGCACATAGGGCTGGAAAACTGGCCAGAGAAAAGGAGAAATTTTAAAGGGTGCCGTGAAGATAGCGATGTTCTGTGATGGACCTGGTGATTGATGACTACCACCAATGGTGATGAACAACAAACAAAACAGATGTATAAAATAAAATAAAAAACTTACACATTTGGCCTGATTGTAAACTCCTTCCCATTCGGCCATCTTAGATTTTGTCATCAGCAGCTCCTCGCGGAGTTTGTGAACTTCTCCGTTCTGATGGTTTGATGTGAACGATCCAGATAGCATCGGAGACTGGGGTCCGGCACTCCTGGGAGACATTGAGTTGGTGTCGCTCAGATTTGATCCCATGGGACACTTACTGACCCCTCCAGAGTAGCAGCTAAACAGCGGGGATGACGACTGTCCGTAGAAAAACAAGCAGAAGTCAAAGTTAAAAGTATCTAGGTCACAGCTTTCCACATTGGTGCAGCTACATATTATGTCGGCTGCAATGGTGGGGTGCATCGCACAAATGTGAAGCATTAAAAAGTATAATTAGCATGCAATGTTGTAGTTACTGGTGTTATTCAATCAGTTTTATCAATGTTACTCATAAATTATTACAATTATAATAATCGTGGAAATACATATTTGTAATATAAAAAAAGTTTTCATGAGATAGGTTGTGTCGTAACAACATTCCTTATGACAATTTACATACCAAGATTTCTTATCAGGGGTCAGCTTAACCTCTGGCTTGTTAGCAGACTGTTTAATATGGTTCCAGATATTGAACTTTGTGTGCATATTTGTTTTACAGATCTGGCTTATTTGTAAGCAGACCTCTCAGGCTTTGAAAGAAATTATGCCTAATTAGTGGTCTCCTAAGCCATGCTTGTTAAGGGGGCAGTGGGCCTATTCTGTGTTCTCCAAAATGAAGTCCCAGGACTCAAATACGGAGCAGAGTTTTAAAGGTAGGAGGTTTCATTCCGGTCTATCATCCGTGAAAGGAGAGTGGGAAAGTTCTCTCACCACCATGCACCGAACCTAAGCAATCAATGATCAACCTTTTAATCCTGAGCTACATATTTACTGGGAAGCCCGTGATGTCATAAAAGGTAAAGGCAGACAGCATGATGATGATGAATTCATCCATTTTCTTTAAAAAAAAATGGATCAAGTCAGCACCCTGGGCAGATTCGTAGATGCTTTTATTTCCTCCTCAATGGCTTCACCACTGAAGAACGACCGAGCAGGCCCATTCTGTGTTGATTACCCAGAGGACTTGTTTCTCTGGTGAAATTTCCATATCTGCTCCAGGGCAAAACCCCAGATGTCCACCAACCAGCATAAAAACACTATGTCCTCTATGTGTTATGATTATCTTTGCAGCTCGCATGGCATCAATGACATCATTGCTGGCCAATGATATGCCAGTTATATTGCATGCTCACTTCCTCGAACACCCGCAATGCCCGACCTAAATAAATAAAGGTTTGGCGAGTCATTGGTTATATATTTATAGAGCCAACTCACATGATCATTGGAGTCATGCTTCTGCATCAGACCAAGAGGGAAACTTCCGAAGGGTGAGGGCGGCGACTGCGACAGACTGCTGATGCTTCCTCGCTGGGTGATGTTGCTGGGAGGAATGCCTATAGGTACCGAGGAGTTGTTGCTGAAGCAGCCGGAGGTTGACAGGCCTGCGCTGAGGGAGCTGCTGACAGAGTTATTGTCCATGTCTTTATCCAGCTCTCTCTCCAAGCTGCTGATGTCTAGGTCTTCCAAGTGTACCTCATCAAAGGCTTTACCTGTTGTAAAGCAGATATATATATATATATATATATATATATATATATATATATATATATATATATATATATATATATATATATATATATATATATATATATATATATATATATATATATATATATATATATATATATATATATATAGAGAGAGAGAGAGAGAGAGAGAGAGATAAAAAGGATAAAGAACCTTATTCTACACCTTTCAGGTATACTGGGTATATAGGGCTAGACCTATATTTTTAAAGACCAAATGGCACTTGGTGGGTGATGTGGTTAGCATCACGCCGACAGCCTTTACTTCCCAGGACTGCACCTGGTGTGAAATTAATGTTTGAGAAAAGCAGTCAACATAAAAAAAAAAAATATTACCAGAATGGTGGAAACACAACCTGTAATTGAGATTGTAAAAAGACTGAAATGGTTTGGCCACCTGGTCAGAATAGACCCAGCTTCACCTGCTGCAAGAGCATACAAGAGACCACTATCCCGTTAACCGATCATTAGCCGTGCCTGTGTTAACCGATCATTAGCCGTGCCTGGGTTAACCGATCATTAGCCGCGCTTGGGAGGCCTAATAGTTTCAAAGTGATGATGTAAATAGCGGGTGAGTGAAGTCGAGCTGACTGCAAGAAATGCTAAATATAATGTTGTCTTGTCCGTTGAGTTTACCAGTCCATAGTTTGTGCTGTATTTAGTACTCTGTTGTTGTTTGCGTTCACTGTCAGTAAACTTCGACAGAAAGACCAGGTTGTTAGTCCATTTCTGGACTCTGGCTTTATTCCAGAACCAGAGTTTTGCATGTGAATCTATTTTACAGACTTTGTTGGCCCTTGCCCTTCCAGCAGATACACTCCAACTTTGAAGGAAGCTCCCAATTAGTCGACTTTTACGTCATGCCTGCTTGGGAGGCAGTAGGTCTATTCTTGTTTTTTTCTCCCACAATGGATGGGAAAGTACTATTTATAAAGACTTTGGTTGAAACATTCAGCTGTGTTTGTGCGAGTCTTTTTCATTCCATCGAGCTTTCTAGTCATATTACGTGCTATATTGAGCATTTCTAGCATCATTAAGCAGAGAAAGACAAATGAATTTATATGCGTTTGTGTGCACACAGATGTGTGCGTGCTCACATACTTGTGTGTGTATGTACGCGCCCGCTCTCTCTCTCTAAAGTATTTTAGGATCCTCATTAGTGCTACAGGTGCTCAGACTAGAGTTTCAAGAAGAATTGAGCATTTATGGGTTACTACCTGTGTGCGATGATGTTCATCCGTTGTTCAAAAACCTAAAACCTCTCTATGTACAACCAGGATTTCTATAGTTAAATGGTCAAACTTTCACATTCAAAAAGCCAGTGACTCTTTAGTCTACTCTCATGAGATGCTTTTTACGAGTCATTAGGTCATTTTGAAGATAAGTTTTTAAAAAAAAGTACAGATAAAAAAAAAACCAGGAAAAGCACAAATAAAAACTGACAAGCACAAATAAAAACTGACAAGCATATAAAAAACTGAGAAGCACAAATAAAAACTGACAAGAACAAATAAAAACTGACAAGCACATAAAAAACTGATAAGCACAAATAAAAACTGACAAGCGCATAAAAAACTGATAAGCACAAATAAAAACCTAGAAAAGCTTAATAAAAACCATGGTAAGTATAAATTAAAACCAAGATAAGTGCAAAAACAAAAACCATGATAAGTATAAATAAAATGCCCCCTACCCAGCACAGACTCCACACAATCTCCAGGAGGATAGAAGGCTGGGGCCAGTGGAGACATCACAGTGGAACTCTGTGTCAGGGCCAAGCTGTTGCCAAGTTGGCTGTACAGTCCCATTTGATGCAGCAGCAGCAGATTTTCTTTCCGTCTCGTCTTTTCAGCCAAGTCTAAGCTCAAATCCTTCTCAATTGCCAAAAGCTGCTGGCGTAATTTCAGCTATTAAAAAAAATTAGAAATAGAAATATAAGCTGAAAACAAAATAACTATGCATTGGTACAGAAAGATTATTTGTTGAATTTGTAAAAGAATATATTTGTGCATTTGTAAGTAAAAACAGATGTGCTTTTGTAACAACAGCTCATGTGTGAATTTATAAAGACAGGCTTATCTGTACACTTGTAAAGACAGGCTCGTTTCAACATTTGTAAAGATTGATTTATCTGTAATGAAAGACTTATTCAAGTATTTGTAAAGAAAGACTGCATATTTGTAAGGAACAGAATGTGTGCATCTGTAAGAAGAACAGGCTCATGTGAGCTTGTGTATGCTTATATAATGACAGGCTCAATTGTGCTGTTGTAAAGAATTATTCATTTGTAAAGAAAGACTGATTTGTATTTGTAAAGATGGACACTTTCCATAGCTTGGAATTAGGTATATAACAAAATAACATATCTTATTTGAAGGGGGCTGCGTGGTCTTGGGGCATGGTGTCCGCCTCGAGTGCTGGAGTCCCAGGTTCATGACCTAGTGAAAGCTTGGATTTTTTTTTTAAACGTGGACTTTCAGTTCTTTCTTTTCTTCTTTACTTTCACCAGCTGTAACCTCTGGCAGAAAGTTCTGGTTGTTCATCCACTTCTCGAATGCAGTCGTGTTCCAGAACCTGAGTGTTGCGTGTGCATCAGTTTGACAGATCTGTCTCATTTGTATGCAGACTGCTTGTTCCTTGACTCTCAGGAAGATGCAATCCAACTTCGAAGGAAGCTCTCAATAAGTCAACTCTTACGGCAGTGGGTCTATCCTTGTTTTCCCCACAACAGGGCTTCGGAACCCACACGGGGAAGGGCTTTCAGTAATTATCCCTGATCTCTGGGTAGTGAGATCGGTCGCCGGTATATACTGTTGCGCACATAAAAAAATCCCTTGGCAGTTGGAAATCGAAAAAGAGTAGCCTAACGGCGCTGCCTGGACTAAATTTTGAGTTCCACTTAAAGTATTTCAAGATCCTCGCTGGTGCAACAGGGTTCCTGCACTGTGCTGAGCTGCTTCAAACTCAGGCTTGAGTTAGAAGTAGAACGAAGCACTTTTGGGTTACACCCGTGTGCCATGATGTTGATACATTGAATAAATCAAACTAAACAAAACCATATCTTACTTGGTATTCATCCCTCTCATAGCCGGGAGCTCTCATATACAGCGGGGATATGTTGTAGTCAGAACTGACGCTAGAAGACCTAGTTCTCATGAATGGGTCGAAAAGACTGTTCAGGTAGCTATTTCCATTGTTGTTCGACAGTAAACTTATCTGTAAGTGAGTGAAATTATACATTAGTAACATACAGCAAATCCCTCAAATACTCATCATCATCATCATCACCAACTTCCACTTCTGCCTTTGCGCACTGTGGGGAAAAAACAGTTTGCAAACCACTGCTTGATAGGCAGTAATGGCTAATGTTATTCCATGTCAATGTAGAAGCTCTATAATGTCATCAATCGCGCACTTCCAGCAACTTAAACTGCGCACTTCCGGGGACTTGCGCCACCGCCCAGAGTATCCCCTACGCCGCTCATGTGGTGTGGATTGGGGTTAAACTAGATGGCTGGGATTCACGAGCAGCAGATACCGCATTTCCTGAAGCTGCCTTCATTTTATTTGCTCGTGAGTCCTAGCCATCTAGTTTAGCCCCAATCCACGCCACATGAGGGATACTCTCGGCGGTGGCGGTTCAAGTCCCCTGAAGTGTGCAGTTGGCACGTGACTGAGGCTCTGTTAGGGTGTATTTTCTGCCTTGATAATTTGGGACCGTTATTTGGAAGATAGCCCATCAATCTATCTTCTCCTGGGCTTTCACTTTAGATCTTTTCATGTGTATCACCTGCCTTGGTAGTTTTTCTGGCTGCATAACTAAACCATTTGATCTTCTGTTTCTCAATAAATTTGTTGCATAGCGTTGTTCCTACAGTCTGTCTGATAATATCATTTCTAACTTTGTCTTGGGTGGTTAAGCTGGGTGCTTTTCTCAGGCATAATATTTCACAGTTGTTAATTTTATATAGGTAAACCTTTGATAATGTCCGAGTCTGGCACTGGCAGCACAGTTTTGGTCCACAAATTGGTTGCAATACAACAGTCTCACTGCAACATATCTAAAAATGCAGATCAGAGACACTTATTATAGTCTATACCTGCCACATATATGCCCAATTTGGTTGTAATACAATAGTCTCACTGCAACATATCTGAAAATGCAGATCATAGACACTTATGATAGTCTATGCCTGCCACATATATGCCCAATTTGGTTGTGATACAATAGTCTCACTGCAACATATCTAAAAATGCAGATCAGAGACACTTAAAGTTTTCCTTGATGTTTTTATCTTTTAAGATGTCAGTATTTCTCCTCTTCTTTGTCCAAGATATTCTGAGAATCTTTCATCTCATCCCACATGACGTAAATTTGCAAAAACTGTGGACATTTCAACAGCTGACTTCAAATAAATGTATACAACAATAATTATCACCAGGCAGCAAAGTGTGCAATGTACTGTTTGTGCATGCATAAAAACACCAGAGACATAGTTAGTTAGTTAGTTAGTTGGGTTATCCTCATTGCACTCCGGACATGTCCATAGGTGCTCAGATCCTCCCCTCAGTATGAACCCCAACGTCCGATGGCTAATAGTACCAGTTCTATGTTGATTAACAAGTCTTCTGGCGTAGCTGGTGTGCGTCTCGTTTTTTGCTGTGCCGATCTTAATTCCCAAGTCTGCCATTCTGGCGAGTGATGTGGATTCACTGCCACCAAAGTCCTCTATTCTTCCCATTTCTCTGAGGGCATTGATAATATCAGCATGATCCATAGGCTGACCGTCGGTAGTGATAGCGGATCCAGCCAACCTGTCAGCTCTTTCATTTCCATCGACGCCTGCGTGTCCCGGAACAAAAATAAAGGTGACTCCACGAACAGTGGACTTCTGTAATGATTCAAGCCATTGTCTTCGCACTGAACCTGCCTGAACCCTCCGGATCATACTCATTGAATCACTGAGTATACACACGCGGGTGTATTTTTGTGTTTTCAAGCCAGGCAAACGCTTGTGTCACTGCCATCACCTCCATCGTCATGCTGCTGGTTGTCATGGAGAAGGCGCCGTTGGCTTCTTTGACTGTTCTGCCCGCTGAGCGTGCTGTAAATGCCCATGCGCTTCTTCTTTGGCGTATAACGGATCCGTCTGTATAGATTATTGCATCTGCTTCGACTGAATTTTCACCGATGAGAGCGTTGACCTCTGCATTAACAGCAACAGGATTCTCTTCTCTACATCGCCTGTTGAGTGTGACAATACAGGAAAATGTACAAATAAACGCCTGAGGCACAGGTATCCATTCTGCACCAGGTATGATGTCGGTTAGGCTGCATATTTGCCTAATGACATCTTCTGCCCGACCTAGCCACGATTTCCCCCTCTTCAGTCTGTCGCCCTTTTCACTAAAAAGCGCTTGATGCAGTGGGTGTTTCTTATCAGCGCATATTTTGAGATATGCCCGAGCCCTCCACATCCTGATCCTTTGGTTCATTGTTGGAAAGTCAAGTAGATACCTCATTGCTCCACAGGATGTGTCTCTAGTACATCCCAAAATAATGCGCATGGCTTCATTTTGCACCTTTTCGAGTCGTTCAATCTGGGTAGCACTGAGAGTTCTTTGTGCATAGTGCTGGCGATTTCCTGTCTATCACGCCCTCGTCGATAAATCAAAATGTCATCAGCAAATGACAAAGTCCTTCCCTTTCCATTCAACTGCTGCTCAGTGATCATCACCGTGTAAACGTTGAATAAGACTGGTGATAGCGGTGATCCCTGTGGCAAGCCTGGACATATCATTTGCGGTTCGGAGGACCAGCTACCACATCTTAGTACAATCTTTCTCTGGAACAGGACCGCAGCAATCCAGCGGATCAGAATAGGATTAACTTCTAGTTTAAGCAGTAATTGCATTAAATAATCGTATGGTACTTTATTGTAGGCATCTTCTAAGTCCAACACTGCCGCACATGTCTCTTCTTTAATCTGAAATCCCTCGTACACATCGTAGGCGAAAACTGCAGCATTGAACCATGTCTCTTTATTTAACCTGTACCCTCCAAGTGTTGGTGGGAACTTATCCTGTAGTTCCAAGTAGGTGGTCAATCTTTGTGCGACAATTTTTTCCAAAAGTTTGCCAACAGTATTCTGCATCGAGATGATTCTGTAGCCGCAGATCTTTGAGTGGTCTTTATTAGGCTTTGGTAGTGGGAACAAATAACTATGGAGCCATTCCTCTTGTATCTGGCCACTCTGGATGCTGATATTGAATTCCTTTGCCACGCTTTTCAAATCAGCATTCGACATCATCAGCATGTCATTGTATCGGATGCCGTCAGGGCCTGGAGCAGTGCTGCGCGATTTCTTGAGGCAAGTTCTTAAGGTATCTGCAGTGATTGTGAGATCAGTGCCTAACACAGTGTTCTCGCACAGCATCGACAGTTTCATCTTAACCCCTATTCTTGTAGCTTCGTCTTTTTGGTCAGTTTGCTCCAAGTAGCGCGCCAGAAGGGTTTTTCCTTTATCAGCATCAGTTCTCTGCCATATCAGGTCTGTACCCTGAAAATCAGGGATACCCCTAGGTCGTGCGGCGCCGTGCATGCTCCGTTGAAGGCGCCAGAATGTCACAAGAGATTCCTCGGAGCAAACGCTCTTGCAGAATTCGTTCCATTTCGCTGTCTTAGCTTCCTTCGCAATTACCTTGAAAGCCACTGTCTGCTTGTTGACCTCATCTTTCAGACTGATCAGGCGTTCAGAAAGTGACGGATCAATTTTCCTTGCCTTTTGCCATGCCTTGACAGCTTTCCCTTTTTCTAGCCACGCCATGTTGACTACTTCATTCCACCATGGTGGCTGGGCCCATCTCTCCCGCCGTCTGCGATCTACTCTTGTTTTACGTCGTCGGATTTTGCTAATGGCATCTTGCCCTGTACGGTCATATATAAAAGCAGGCACATTGATAATATCAACCAGAGACATATATGACATATGTGTGATTATATACGATAAAGAAATAGGCGAAATTCAACTGGAGAACCGCTTCTATCACCAAAAATAGGACAAAGCAAACAAAGAGAATCATAAATTAGAAGAAGAAGAAGAAAAGGCACAGAAATGAGGAAAAAAAACTGGACTGTGAAAATGAGGATGTTCAAGCAAAACTCTAAAATGAACATTGCTGAGTTAGTTCTAATATCAACCATCCATGATAATGAAAGGATTCCATGACAGAATGGAATGGACGACTCTTAAGACTTTCTCCAGCGGAGTCTTGGTCCCATTTTAGAGGGGGAAAAATAACAGACTTACTGCCCCCCCCCCCCCTCCCATGTAGTAGAAGGTGACTAATTAGTGTTTTTCATTCAAAGTACAATAGCCCCAGAAGCGATGAATCAACAGTCAGTATACAGGTAAGCCAGCTCTGTAAGATGCACGTGCAAGCACACTCAAGTTCTGGAACAAGACAGTAGTACTGAAGTAAACGAACAACAGGATTTCCTGCCAGGGTTTACAGCCTGTGAATGCGATGACAAAGCAGAGGAAGATTGCAAGCCCTGGGAGACACACAATGGCACAACAGGATGATGAAGATTTTACTTACAGGCAGTGAACCAGGTTGTGAGGATGTACTGCTGGACCTCTCCTTCCCTATGGGGTTTGGCAATTTTGTATCATCCTTGCCGTTTATCTGTAGGGCAAACAAAAATAAATGTGTAACTACTTTAGTAAGAGTCATTCCTAAAAAAAATTTTAAACTGCAGTCCAACTTGCCGACTGCTTATGCCGCAAAGCGAAAATGATGAGTTATAGTTTCTTTCTTTTGCCAGTTGCGCAGCTTGTGTTAATGCTACACTGTGTTTCTGTAGTGTTGCTTTTACTCCCTCCGCCCATCTATTTCTCTTGGAGGCCTGGGATTACTGTACTGCTAAATTATATGTCTAAATAGTGTGTCACCAACATGAACATTCTGGGAAATCTGGTCGCTAGAAATCCGGGTGAACAGCCACAACATGGGCATATATTACAAACATTTAACATGAACAGACAAATATATTTTTTAAAATATCAGGGAGCTGCGTTAATGCAGTCGATAGGAGACTCGCTTTCAAATCTAGCTGCGACTCCCTGCAGCTCACGGTTGATGTTTGAAACCAGGCGGTAACTGGGGCTCACCCAGCCTCTAGGTAATGGGTACCAGAGTTAATGGAGGAACCTCGTAGCTATGGGGTTGCGTGCGGACAGTTTCTTATCAGCTGTCTGTACTGGTAGCAGAGCACTTATGGTTTATAACAGTGTGCAATGACGACTTTACCTTTTACATTTAAAAAAAAAAAGACTTACATCCTTGCCATTAGCATCGTTCTTCTGGGAGAGAGAAGAGAAAGACTCCATTTTATTTGATATTTCCGGCTGTGGCAAAATGCTCGTCACAAAAGCTGCTAAAGAATTGTTGGTTAAGCTGGACAAAATGTCTCTGACTGACGTTATTTCCTCTGGAAAAAAAAACAAAAAACTACAAAATAATGAGTTTTTCACACTTTTCAAACAAAAAGGGTATGAATCAATCAGCTGACATCAAATTTTCTCCGCAAGCCTCAGTGGTGGAGGTAAAATGCCATGAATCACCATTAATATTTGTTTTAAGCCCTAGTGAATGCATTCCATTTACTGCTTTACTCTGTCCATGATTGCCGATAACACCCTTAATATATCTTTATAATTTCCTCGTGTGGGTCCCTGGACCCCATTGCAAGGAAAACAAGAAAAGAAGAATAGACCCACTACCTCCCCAACAAGCATGTCGTAGAGTCCCCTAACTGGTGGTTTCCTTCGAGGTCAAAGTGCATCTGCTCGACAGGCAAGCAACCAACAGTCTGCATACAAAGTCAGGTCTGTAAAATGAATCTGCACCCAACATTCAGGTTCTGGAACAAGCCTAAAGTGCAGCGGTGGATGAACAACCAGAACTTTCTGTCTGTTTACAGCCAGTGAACGAGGAAAAATAAATTTTTTACTATTTCAGTAACAAAAAATGCAGACACATAAAAAAAAAGATGTATTAGTGACCTATGTAAACTGGTTTTTTAAGAGGATTTTTTAAAAACAGGAATTCCCCAGGATCCATCAGCCCCCACTCCCTTTTTTTTAAAAGCATTAGCAGGTGGAAAGAATTAATGACCTAAAAATTCAACCAATTATCTAATTAAAAATAAGAAATTCTGGTATGTCATGATTACATAACATCATCATGATGTGCTGTGCAAAAAAGGATAGGTGGTCAGTTTGCCACATTCGACAAATCCTGATCCTAAACCAATGTTTTTGTTCCAAGTATGCCAGGAGGCCAAGCCATATAAGTATTTATCGTTGTCTTCGCCCTACAAATTTCCATCAAGTTTTTTAGTGATCAACAAGTCATCAAGTTAATTTCTGTTCACCACTTGCTCATGAATTCTTGACAATCTTTTCCTAATTTCTCTAACAATTTATTGATTTTATTCATGTCGTGAAGGGCTTCTTTCTTTATTCAATGCCTTTTCCTCAACAACCACAACAAAAATTCTGCCTTATCATTATGCGGCAGGTTCCATTGCAGAACATCACTTAAAGTACTGCAAGTTGACAAGCCCCTCGTGTCCTTACTAATGTTCCTGCCTCATTAACAGGGTGCTCCACTTTCTAGGAGCCAGCCCTCAATATTCTGATCCTGAAGAATGAGTTTGTAGTATCATCAATATCTATCCGGGTAGGTAAAGAACCCCTTTTTTTCACAACCGTCACACACATGGAATATAATGCTCAACTTATATTTTTATCGACCAATTGGTACTCAGATTGTAATGTAATCAACATCACGCTAGCCACCTTTAATTCCCAGGACATTACCTGGCATCCATTTTATGCCAGGTCAACCTGGCAGTTATGGTTAATTTTGAAAAAAAAAATAGGATGCATGCGAATTTAAACTGAAACCCTTCAACCTGGCAGTTATGGTTAATTTTGAAAAAAAAATAGGATGCATGCGAATTTAAACTGAAACCTTTCAACCTGGCAGTTATGGTTAATTTTGAAAAAAAATAGGATGCATGCGAATTTAAACTGAAACCCTTCAACCTGGCAGTTATGATTAATTTTGAAAAAATAATAGGATGCATGCGAATTTAAACTGAAACCCTTCAACCTGGCAGGCACATAGCTTCACTGATAGAGATCTCATTACCCAGGTAGCCACATACACAAATTGTTAACAAACTTACGTTCTACATGAGCAAAAGCACAAAATGCCCCTCTGGGACACGAATTTGTCTGAACCATGTCATTACACTTGGTAGATTTGTAGATCTGAAAATGCACACAGAATATTGTACAACAAATCTCTATATGCATTTCATAAAGCTGATGTCTTAATATAAGAAATACATATATTTTATAAAATCAATTCCTCGTGTGCGTTCTAGGGCTCCATTGTGGGTTTAAAAAAAAGTCTCACAATGGGTGTTTCCCCTATAAATCAGAGTCTGCCTGAGGGGCATGGTACCAACAGTCTGCATCAAAAACAAAGTTACATTCAAATGAACAACCAGACACCCCCCCCCCCCCCCCCCCCCCCCCGAGTTTACAGCTGTTGAACCTTAAAAAAGAAGATAAAACTAATGTAAATAAATGAAATAGAATGACATTTTGAAAAAGATATTGAACAGGCAACAAGGCCCAGGGAAGGGACAGTAATAGTATAAAAGCAATTGACTAAAAACAATGCCCAGTGAAGGGGCAGTAACAGTATAAAAGCAACTGACTGAAGACAATGACCAGGGAAAGGACAGTAACAGTATAAAAGCAACTGACTGAAGACAATACCCAGTGAAGGGACGGTATAGAAGCAAGTGACAGAACAGAGAGCAATGCCCAGGGAAGGGACAACAACAGTATAAAAGCAAGTGACTGAACACAATGCACAGGTAATGTATATTAACCACAGCTCACAGCCAAATTAACCAATCAATTTCAAGATTCTTCGTTTTTTCAAGGTTATCTCGGAGTAATACTGAAACAAGGTATTTTTGCCTTGTTCAAGGGTGTACCAAGCTCACAAGGCACTTCATTTGTGCGCATTCAAGGTATCCTTAGTTTTTGTTTTCAAGGTTATCTCGGAGTAATACTGAAACAAGGTATTTGTGCCTTGTTCAAGTGTATACCAAGCTCACAAGGTACTACATTCGTGCGCACACATGTGGGTATACCAGCACAGATATAGGGTTTTACTTCAATTCTACCACTGCTGTGGTCAAAATTCCAGGTGGATATCTTTTCCCAGGTGAGAAGCAAGGTTTAAGGTCACGGTCGCAATTTCAAGGCTAAATTCAAGTTTCCCGGCTGGCTACGAACCCTGAGTAACTATAAAAGCTAAACAGTCAGACAATCTTACCTCTGGGTGAAACTGCTGTTCAGTCCGTGTGTGGCAGTAGGAGCAGCTATCCCCATTCTCACACTGTGTGGGGTCACCCCACTCATCCCCATGTTTGACATTGGGACATGGTGTGGACCTAGCAAGCAGAGATTTTTCAGTTAGCACCTGTTAACTGTAATGCACTGCTACCCATGATAATCATAAAATCAATCTTATGCTACATACTGCTGTAAAAGACATACTCCTGTTTGCCCAAATGTTCAAATCTGCTACGACAGATCCCCCCCCCCCCCCCACAAAACTGACCCTAGCTAACAAAACAAGAAGAGACATGGCTACAGATACCACCATCAGAGAGAAACTTGGAATAAGACCATGTCTGGGTTATACTGACAAAGAATGATATGGTTTGACATTCTAGTGAGAATGCAGCCAAACCAAACTGCAAATGAGACTTTTTACAGCAGAAAATTTTGGAAGGAATGCGAAAGACAGACCAAGAAAGACATTGATAAATTATGCAGATAAAACCTGCAAAAAAGATGTACAAATCCATCACCCAAGCCACCCGAGGGGTGCAAGACAAACACAGAAAACCATGTCACTGGGCTACAACCTGGTATCAATGAGACGGCAAAAGAAGAACCTGGCTCCCAGACTGCTTCAACCTAAAATTGGTACTAGGTAATGTCCTTGAAGACAAAGGTGGCCGGAGTGGTGCTGAAAACATCACCTGTCAAGTGTTGATTAATCTATAATTATAATGAATACAAGTCTGGTATTTTCTGTATAATCCAACACTGATATTAGAAAGTCTTTTTACTTATCATTTTACAAATACATCGCCGAGATTGTTTAATACTCTGAAATTTTATCAACAGATCCAATTACCTCCTATTTTTATATCATAATTTACTTTTTTATATGCATTGGCTTAACCAAGATCTTCGATACATATGTCAACAAAAGTCTATCTTTTATGGGTAAATTTTCTGTCATGACAGTGAGTTATAAAATGGTGAAAAAAAGCTGAAGCAGTGAAAAAATAATTTTTACAGAAGAATGCTGAGAAAATCATGGACAGAGAGGCCTCGAAACAAATTCTTTTTTTTAGACACTCCCATAATGTAAACTCTGGTGAAAATTTATGTCTGTCCAATCCCTTCTGGACTTCGGTCTTGTTCCAGAACTTGAGTTGTGTGCCCATCCATTTTACAAATATCACTTATTTATTGGCAGACTGTTGGTTCCTCAACTCTCCGAGAGATACTTCGAAAGAAACATCCCTAGTTAGACACCTTTTACTATATACTTGTTAAAAGACTGTACAGTCCTCACAGCATGCCTGTCAAACAGGGCGACAAACACCTGACCAAATTCTGCAGACCTGCCCACTACCTATAACTTCAAAAAGACACCTGGCCTCAAGAGGAAAGTGTGCAGAGCAAGTTATGGAGAACCGTGAAGGACCTGCTACTAACACGTGAGTTCATAGAGGCAACTCACCTGATGGTCTGACCTGAGCATACAAAACCGAACACAAAGAAGATATGCTTGTTAGACAGGCCGCGAGTCTACCCCCTGCCCCCCAAAAGGAGCCTCGGAACTCACAAGGAAACATGAAGCATTAACAAGACAATCTACATTAGTTTGGTATATGGTGTTGCCTGTTGAAATTGCTTACCGATATTTAAACTGCTTCGGACTTCTTCTCCTGTCTCTGGTGTTGTGAAACTGAGGACAGGCATAGCCCTGTCGACATAATCGTGGTGGCCGCTTGCAAGGCTCAGTTTTATAGTTAGCAAGCACAAAGTTTGTATCTGAAATATTTAGAAAAATAAATTATAACTTCAAATATACTAATATAAATTATACTAGTCAACCCAATATTGTGAAACTTATTTAATTACAATAGCAGCTTAAAACCGCTGTCAAATTTCAACCCCATTTCATAGAGACAAAGTGATCTGTGACCCCATGAATTAGCGGTTCTCAAGCTGCCAGTCGCAACCCATTTTTTGGTCGAACAACCCTTTCACAGGGGTCGCCTAAGACCACCGGAAAACACACATTCATTGAAAGTTTTGATAGGGAAAAAATTGTTCTGGGTGTCGCCTCAACATAAGGTAACTGTACTAAAGGGTCGCGGCATTAGGAAATTTAACAGCCACCGCGATAAAATAAAAATAAGCTGTTTAAGAGGTTAATTGAAAACACACATAAATTATATTTTTTTGGGTACAATTCAAAATGTTAAAGCTTTCTACAGGGCGTAGTGACATGATTGTACTTTTCCCTTTTAAACATTTCATAGATCAACACTGCTAAGCGACCCCTTAGAAAGCCTTTTGCAACCCAATTCATGGTCATGGCTCATGAAGTAAGAACTCATGACTTAGAACACACACAAAGATTAAAACAAATACTGCTGTTGGGATGTGAAGTGTTAGCTCTTCAGCAGGAAAGGTATACAAACAGTTGTGGTACAATCTGTGAAAGGGAAATGAATAAGACGACAACACATAATACTGCTGCATACAAAAATACAAATTTAATAAACAAGAGCCTTACACCATTAAATCAAAATTCATCGACATACCATTCCATCTAGGATCCTCTGCAAGTACCCGGTCTTTCTCTGAAGTACCTGGTGAAGTTGACAACTTTACAATCTCCATTGAAGGCTGCATCTCTGTAGAGTCGTAGACTGGTGGACGCACATCGTGAATACCGTGCGCAAAGGCACAGTGGGGACCATTCTTTGTGCAGTGACCCTTTGAATCGGTTTCGTACACACAAGTACCTGTTTTGTAATATCTCAAATGATATCTCCTCTCTGTATCACCAGCTGTTCTGTGCAGGAATGGGCACCTGAAAATTGAACAATGTACGTGAAATTATTATAATATTTTACTTTGGTCAAATATTTATAAAAACACCTTTATTGGTACATACTAAAAAAAATTCGATTAAAACAAAATTATTATGTAAATAGAATGTGTTTTTCAGCACAGAAGTTACTATACTGCAATATTCCCCAAAAACAATTTAGTTGTTGTTGAGACATACAAACTGTTTTAATTCTTAGTTAATCGACCAAACATCCTTATCGCAAATTGGACACATTCATAAGTGCTCAGATCCCACCTTCAGTGTCTCCCCCAGTGTGTGGTGACTGACAACACCAGTTCTGTGTTGGTCTACTTTGGCTACCTACATAGTGTTCTTTATGAAGCTTTGGCTATAGGCAAGGGTCAGAGGCTGAAAAGGGGAAAATCGTGGATGGCTCAAGCAGAAGACACAATAAGACAGGTAGGCATGCTGAAGAACAATTGGCGAGGAGAGGAGTGGGTTATGATCACATTGGGCGGGGTGTGCAGAGAGTGGCCAGCGGGTGCTACTGAGGTTGAAGTCTAATAGTTGGTTCACGACAATTCACGCCCAGGTGATCTGATTACCTATACAGATGGTTCAGAGTTGAGAGAAAAAAGAAGTGCCTGAGGGTTCGTAGTGAAAGCCAATGGAAAATCTTAAGTGCAAGACAGCCTAGCAAATAACACAACATCTAGACTGAGAATGAAGGTGGTAACTGCAGCTCTCCGGTGGCTTAAGAACAAGATGCATACACATGTCTTAATTGTAACAGAAAGCATGGTGAAAAAGGTGAGGACAGGGATGCTTCGAGCAGAGGGGCTAGCTTCACTGGAAAGGTCACAGGTAGTGTGCATACTTTGGATCTTTTCTCCAGGCTATGCTGGCATGGTGGATAATGAACAGGCAGACAGATTGGCTGGGTGGTGAATTGATCCATGACAAGGCAGATATGGTCATTTGGTAACAAGCAACGGAATCAGTAGAGAAATAAGATTATGGCATGGAGAGAATGAAGCACCTGGGTATAACCAGAGGGTCTGGCCGGCTCACTACACTCAGAGGGAAGGCAAGACGGACTTTTAACCAGATTGTGACCAGTACCATCAGTACTGGCTGCTGAAGATGAGGGCGGAGTATACATGGGAATGCCCCCGAGTGCTCTGATGTCAATTCTTGACTCAACTCATCTCACAGTGTTCAGTGTCTGGAAACACCTCTTCTGACAAGACATTCTGGAGCACATCATGATGATGAGAAAGTTGGTGGGAAAAGAAGCTCAGGGAGACAAGAGAGAAGATGCTGGACAGTTTGACATCTTGGCATGGAAGATCATCTGCCAGAACTGATTGAAAATACATGAGACAAAAATGTATGGAAAGATATGACTACCAACAGCACATAGCATTGTCTATAATAAGAAGGAACTATAAAAGACAGGAAAAAAGGGTCTGAGATGAGTAGGATAGGGGACTATGCTCCATTAAGATGAAAAAAAAAGGGAGGAAAAATGTAGACAGTTTTGGTTAACTCATTTGCACTATGCATTTATAAGATTGTTCCCAGGATGGCAAGGCACACACACACAAAAGAATAAAGTGGCCCATACTAACTGATCAGTATAGTCCCCGGAAGTCCGCAACAGACATGTGACTGAGGCCCTGTTATGGTATATTTTCGGCCTAGATAATTTGGGAGTTTTTATTGGATAGCTTGTAATTCCTATGTTTACTTCTTTTTATTCCACTCCTCCCACCACCACACTTGCCTACAGTAGTGCCTAATAAGTTCAGTTAATACCAAATCTATGCAATACTAAAAAAAAATAACAGATAAGCATAAATATATATACTCAAAAACTTGCATAGCTCGGATTAGAGCTGACATACAGACATGAAGGTGGTACCGTTGGAAAGAGCTTTTTAATATGTATCCACCTGTGAGGGTTTTTATTAGCAGGGAATGATTCTGAAAAGTAAAGTTCCTGTTTGGCAAACAGGAAGCAAAACTCTTTAAATCCTAATTATAACCTAAAAGAGTTAAAAAGGATTTCACTGTTCTAAATTACTAAGTACTAGAACTGCCTAAGTTGGTGAAGCCAAGACAAAATACATGACATTTATTTAAAAAAAAAAGTAATTTAAAAGTTCCTATCTATGGTTCTATTCTTCAACAAATAGTCCAGAGATTTCATACACAGCAAGCTGCTTAAAGAGAACATCTCCCCTGCACACCTCTACCACACTTTGCCAACAAAACAAACACAAGCTATTTTTACACTCTTACATCATGTATACATTTACAGGACATGATGTTAACTGCTGGCTTGATCATTCACCCACCCCCCTCCTCTCTCTTCAATAACAAACCCAGTACACACCAACCAAACAAGCCCTGTTTTTCACCCCTTTTATAAATTTACTCACAAAACAACTAGAATAACCTAATAAATCAAGACTACGAGGGGCCAGACTGAGAAGAAAGACGAAGTTGACAGAAAGATGACTGTAAATAAAACGTTGTTTTGATCAATGGGGGAACTACGCCATGTCAAGTTCAGAACCAGGTCAAGGACTCTATACCCAGATCTAAATATAGACCCCAGCTGATTTCTCTTTAACAAATAAACACCGCCCAGGCCGTAAAAACAGCCATATTTGATAAATTAATCCTTATTTATCAATGCAAGAGTGGAAAGACTGGTAGCCATGATGTATGCCGGGTTGTGGACGGCACATTCTGTGACTAAATTTAGCTGAATACGTGTTTTCTTTGTTGTGTTTTCCCAGACAGCATGGCCTCGAACTTAGAAAAACTGTGGGTTGTTGCCCTCCCGTTGCACAACTATACAAAATTACTTTTTCATTACGTTACAACTGCCGTGATATACTTGCTGTTATAACAATCTACATACAATTGATAAAAACCGCAACTGCGACGTAGAAATGTAACGGTAAGACCGACGTTGTTGTATTCTTCCCGTGGGGACTCAATCACAAAGATGGCTGCCATGTTTGTTTACAATACACAGCACACGAGACGTCTGCTCCGTCATAAAAACTTCAAATCTTTAATGATTAACGCCTCGAAAACCATCAACATCACCACAATTTAACACCGTTATTCATTCTGTACCCTTTCTTAACAATTAATAAAATCCCAAACAGCTGCTTCCTTCGCAAACACGACAATGAAAAACAACTGCGCTCTAAACTATTAAAACTACTACTTTTCTTTCCCACCAAATTTTTGAAAACTAATCGCATCTACTACTCACTCGTCTCCATCGGGACATATTCCTGTCGTCTCGTCATATTTAGTACAGTAGATATCAGGACTATATGAAAACGTCCCGTCCCGCTTCTTTACAGGTCTTCTCCGTCTCTGATTGAGAAAATGCCAGTTAAAGCAAGTGAAAGGTCTGTGTTGTTGACATTTGTGCTGGAGAAAGAGCTCGCACTGCTGGGTTCGAAACTCTTTCAGATACCTGTAAAAGAAAACAAACCGGGTAGTAAATACTTCAAAACGATTCTAAGATAATCAGACGGTTTTAATGTGAAGTCCTGACCAGAAACTTACATGTAATGGTGGGGTTTTTCTTCTTGAGCTGCGGCTGATAAACTGTCTGAAGCCGACGGCATTTTGTTGTCATACTGAATGTTGCTGCGCATATTCTCTGCGCACTGGGGTTGCCGTCGCTGATTGGTGGGTTTTGGTCACGTGGCAGGGGGTTCCCCCGTCAACTACAGCGCAATTATTGACGTCAAATTCTTTCTCTGGAAATCAGACAAGTACAGTTAAGTTGAATCTGAGTTGGGTTAACTATTTCAGTCCCACAACTTTCTAGCTAATGTCAGAGGGAGTTATGAATGACAATACTAAATTCATAACAACGAAATTCATAATCTGTTTAAATCACCATTGATCACTGACATCATGAGGGCGAATAGACTGAAATGGCTAGGACATATTTTGATGACAGAGAGGTAAAAACTGTATATACGAGGGAGCTGAATGGACGTAGACCACAAGGTAGACCAAGAAGACGATGGAGAGATAAATGTCCAGACCTTCAAACACTTGGTGTCGCCAAATGGAAAGAGAAGGCCAGCTAGAGAGATGATTGGATGAGGGTGATATCTGCAGCAATAAAACTTAGGGGATCGGAATGCTGAAAAAAAAAAAACATAATAAAAACTAATGCGTATGCAGCTTTCAGAAGGGCCAAATATACAATAATAAAACATAATCACTCATAGAATCCACATCACAGTGCTCGGGGCATTCCCATAAGCGCTTCGTCCCTATATTAAGCAGTAAGCATAATTCCAATTCAGATGGTACCTGTTTTCTTTCTCTTAGAATTGGACAAGTAGAATAGAGAAGAAGTTCTGGGAGATGCAGGGATCTTCGGCACCATCTCCGCCTTTCATGTTTGCAATTAACTCATGTAATACTATAGAATTTTACTTAAATTCATTTTTTTTTCCATTCCACTGCTTTCGCCCTGAAAAGATTGAGTGGCACATTCTATTGTGCGGTTCAGATCGACTGTAATGTGTACGAAGTCTCCTACGCCGTTCGGCGTCATCTGTCCAAACCCAAAAACTGTTTTCAGTACTTTTGGGCAAAGTAAAATACTCATAATTTTAAAACTATAAATAAGGGCGGTCTGACATAGAGGAAAGAAGCATTAAGCTCAGAGACGGCGTAAATACCAGAACTTTAGCCACGAAAGTGGCGCAAATAAACAAGACCACAATTATAGCCAGAGACTGTTGGCAGCTTCGGCTAGCTAGCAGTAGGTTGAACGTGGTTGAGTTTTTGATTTTTTCTAAAAAGGAATTGGAATTGATCCTCGTCCTCATGGTGGCACTTTGTGTCACCGGCTATTTATTGCTCTGTATGATGTCCTGGTGGGGTTCAACTTACTTACTTAATACTTCTTCTTCTTCTTCTGCGTTCGATATCAGTCATGCTAAACATTGAGTCCCGTCTGGGTCACAAATAGGACTGTGCGTTTAAGGTCGCCACCGGTCCCTCATAGCTTCTCTTGCAAAGTGGCTCCTTTGGGCCAGATCCCCAGTCTTTGCTGGGAGAGGTTAGGGCAGTACTGTAGTATATGCTCAGGGGTCTGTCTTTCTGCTCCACAATCACAGGCAGCAGATTCTTTTATGCCTATCCTGTACAAGTTCTGCCTTCTCCACTCTTGCTTGAAAGACTGCTTTAGCGCTGTTTTGGTTTCCTTGTAGCTGTGTGGTGGATGCGGTTGTGGAAGATTACTCCCAGCTTTTGCCAACTCATCTGCTCTCTCATTTCCTTGAATACCACAGTGGGCTGGTATCCACTGCAAGACCAGTTCTGCTTCCTTGGAGAGTAAGCCAATGTTGGTTCTTAGATCAGCAATTAGTTTGTCTTGTTTTTTGCTGGATAGTGCTTGGAGAACAGACAATGAGTCGCTAAGTATAACAATTTGGTGCCCTCTGTGTTCTTGAGTGATGAGATGTTGGACTGCAGAGAGGAGGGCAGTTGCCTCAGCTCTGAAGTTAGTGCAGATGTCACCTGCTGGTAGAGAGAGAGTTTCTGCTCTACTGCTAGGGGGTTTAATGTAAATTCCACAACGCCCCTTTCTGACTGCATCTGTAGCAGAGCCGTCGGTGAAAACCTGAGTCCAAGTGGTGTTTGGATACTTCTCATGAACTTAATACTAATTAGTCGACTCTCACGACATACTTTTTAGGGCGCTGTGTGTCTGTTCTCCACACCCTCACCCCCACCCCAATCGGCTTTTAAACACACACTGGGAGTTTTATTTAAATTCATTTTATATAAAATAATTATTATTCAAACTCAACTTCTTCTTCACGACTCATCCTTTGAAAGGTGGTTTGCACACTGTGTTTTGTTAGGTGGATATTTCTAAAAATAATTGCATTTTTTTCCATTTGCTACAAATTTCTTTGATCTCAACACTTGAATCAAGTAACACGTTTCCTGAGTACTTCTTCTGCTTAACTTTCATCTGTTTACGTTGCAACTCAACAAATTCTTCCTGAGTACAACTGCTGCTCGTAAATATGGTGCCAAAGCCATTTTTGTGCGCGTTCGCGCCCCGAGGCATTGTTCGCCTATCAAGTCTAAATATTTTCCGAAATTGTGCTTGTGTGTCGATTAGTTCGTGACTAGAGACATTCGTGACCTGAGATAGCACTGTATTTTAACACCTCATAGGTTAACCCCTGCCTGTTCTTGTGATGTTCTGTTCAATCTCTCCTACTGGTCTCCAGACCAGCGTTTCTCAACTTTTTTCGCCCCGGCACCCTTGTCAGGCAAACATTTTTTCGCGGCACACCTACCCTTAAAAAGGTTTGAATACTTAAAAAAAAAAAAAAGATGAAAAACAGTGTGCATTAAATGTTCAGTTGTCTTTAATGCGATGAATGAAAATGTTTAAATGAATTTTACATTATTTTCTTTATGTTTATGGGAATTTTAGTTAATTGTACTCTTAGATCACTTGAATGTTGCTCCTGTATCTGTTTTTAATGTAAGCGTACGTTGAGAATGCACGACAGCCTTTCCAATAGCATTGTTTTCTGAATACACATGCATCCTGAACTTTTCTTGGCTTCCTACAAGGTATTTCTGTTTTAAATTGCTGCCTTCGCTGATCTCAAGCAGATTTTTGAAAAATTTTTGATTGCTTCCGCGGTACCCAGTTTGAAAACCGCTGCTCTAGACTCACATTTTGCTTTGATCTGAGTTATGTTTATGCCAGAAACTGTACTATAAATAATTAAATAATCTTACTAACATTATTACCAAGTAGAACGACTTTCAGTAGATATGACAGTTATCTCCGCAAGCATTAATTCTTAAAGACTCATTATTGACTTTCACACATCTGGGACTTGGCCTTAACCCAAATACTTAATTACAACACAGTATTTACCCTCACGGACGCAGCAACACACTTCTTGTATACGCCGTGTCAAACTTGCAAGGTATATGTGTTATGGTACAACTTGGTACAGCTGGTGTCAGCTTGTTACCAGTACGGATGATAAGGTTGTGTCGGGGAAAGAGAACAAGGCATTTACTGACCCCAAAGACTCGCAGCTTTAATAGACATGAAGGCTTCTTTTAAATTAGCCTTCCCAAACCTCGGTTCTTGATTTTTCTTCTATGAACTTAAAATGAGCAACACATGTTTACTTGCAGCTGCATAGATTGAGACAGTGACATTTAGGTGAGATTTGCTTTTTATTTATGTATGTCTGGTTCTGGTTCTGAAAGTATAGTCTTATTAGGAAAGGAAATGCTATGCTACTGCTGCTGCTGCTGCTGCTGCTGCTACTGCTACTGCTACTACTACTACTACTACTACTACTACTACTACTACTACTACTACTACTACTACTACTACTACTACTACTACTACTACTACTACTACTACTATTACTACTACTACTACTACTACTACTACTACTAGTACTTAAACAACAACAACAACAACTACTACTACTACTACTACTACTACTACTACTACTACTACTACTACTACTACTACTACTACTACTACTACTACTACTACTACTACTACTACTACTACTACTTCTACTACTACTTCTACAACAACAACAACAACAACAACTACTACTACTACTACTACTACTACTACTACTACTACTACTACTACTACTACTACTACTACTACTACTACTACTTCTACAACAACAACAACAACTACTACTTCTTCTACTACTACAACTACTACTACTACCACTACTACTACTACTACTACTACTACTACTACTACTACTACTACTACTACTACTACTACTACTACTACTACTACTACTACTACTACTACTACTACTACTACTATAAAAAAAATGCAAGTATTCCCCACAGGCTATTTTTTTTTTAAGTGCCTGTACCATATACTACTATAGACTACTACTGCTGTTGCTAGAGTTAGTGGTAGTTGTCTACTACTAGTAGTAGTAGTTGTTGGTAGTAGTTGTACTTACTTTGCTTACTTGGACGCTCCTTTTCTACCTTGGGGTGTAGAGGTTTGCCAGAGAGATCGCCAGACGTCTCTATCTCTTTTAGTAGTGGTGGTGGTGGTGATGGTGGAAGTAATAGTAGTAGTGATGGCAGTGATAGAGAGCGTTTTCTGTTGTTGCTAGTAATCAATGCCCACCGCAATAATCTATAAGCAATGTCTCACTGAAACGCAGCAATACAGATTCAGTATAATTATTTAAATTGCAACACTGTTTTTATATACAATTAATACTTGTTTTGCTTTGCATTCCATGCCTTTGTTTTGTTTCGTACATTTTTTTTTTAAAGCACAGATTAATACCAAAATGGCGGCAATCTGTGGATTCAAAACTGTTAAAACCGCTTACCAGGTGCTGAACAAATCAAGAAGGAATATTTCGATATCCCAGAAATGGAATGTTCAGATTTCACACAGAAAGAATGTTCAGGTTTCACAGAAAAGGAATATTCAACTGGCACTGTCAGGATACCACTTTCCAGATTATGAACTTGAGAGGAAAAATTTCAGTTTACAGATACCTGAATTCTTCAACTTTGCTCATGATGTTATCGACCGGTGGGCTGATGCAGAGAAAGTAAGTTTGTGTTAAGAGGTATTTATATAGGACTTTGACATTACTTATCATCATCATTAGCACTGCAACGCCTATCATCATCATCATTATTGCCATCTTCTCCTCTTCTTCTTCTTCTTCTTCTTCTTCTTCTTCTTCTTCTTCTTCTTCTTCTTCTTCTTCTTCTCCATTTACATCATCAATGAATCAATGAGTTGGTTGTGTTTGCTTTTTCTAATAGTGTTGCATAAGTTGATCTTTGTTTTTTTTTTAACGACTATTCTTGATCAGCTGCCCTTGCTGACTAGAATGGGCCATTGAATTATGTTTTGTCCGTCGCCCTTTGTGAACTCAGGCAAAAAATCTGGGCTTATCATCCATAACCGATTCTCCCACCCCCCAGGACTTGAGTCTGTGATGATCATTTTCCACATCTTGTGATCCAGAACTCTCTGCCTGCCTGACTGACTCTGTTTTTCTGTTTGTGTCCAACTCTGTTTTTGTGTGTTTGTGTCTGTCTGGCTGTCTACCTGCATGTCTGTCTGCATGTCTGCCTGCATGTCTGCCTGCCTGTCTGTCTGTCTGCCTGTCTGTCTGTCAAAACTCTCTCTCTCTCTCTCTCTGCGTACACATTGACCTACTGAGTTTAAAACATAATGAGTGACATACTGTTAACATGTCATATTAACTTACTTTCATGCGTATCGTATCATGTCATATTAACTAACTTTCTAGTGTATCAGTCAAAATAACTGTGGGGATTGACTCTCTCTGCAGTCACTTCACACTTTCGTCATCAGTGTGCAGTCAGCATCCCTACATTTACGGAGATCTGCTGAGAGAGACAAGCACCCACGGTCAAAGTAAAGGCCCCCATTTGTTTACATCCTGAGATGTTTTTGTCACAGGTTGGCCTAAGAACTAATGTGTCCTTTTTATGTTATGGGTAGACCTAAGGCTAATTAGCGCACTTTGTGTTACAGTTTGACCTACGAAGGGATGATGTGTCCTATTTATGTTACAGGTTGGCCTAAGAAGAACTGATGTGTCCTGGTTTTGTTACAGGTTGGTCTATGAAGGAATGATGTATCCCGTTTATTTTGCAGGTTGGCTTAAGAAAGATGGATGTTCCATGCTTTTGTTACAAGTAGGCCTAAGAAGAACTGATGTTCCTGTTTGTGTTACGAATTCGCCTAAGAAAAACTGATGTGCTCTGTTTTTGTTAAAGGTTAGCCTAATATGGACTGATGTTCCCTATTTTTATTACAGGTTGGCCTAAGGACTGATGTTCCATGTTTTTTTTACAGGCTGGCCTAAGAAGAGCGGATGTTCCATGTTTTTGTTAAAGGTTAGCCTAATATGGACTGATGTTCCCTGTTTTTATTACAAGTTGGCCTAAGAAGGACTGACGTTCCCTGTTTTTGTTACAGGTTGGCCTTAGAAGGACTGATGTGCCTTGTTTTTGGTGGGTTGATTCACAGACTAAACAGGAAGTGAAACTGTCATTTCAGCAACTGGCTCAAATTTCTAAAAGGTGAACACTGTTAGGGCTACATGTCGAACAAATACAGCACATCTCGCTATCTTTGTCTTCGTTTTTCAGCTCATCTGTCTTATCTTTGCTTAGCATTCCTGTTTTCTGTTTTTCTATATATGGTTTGTGAGTAAAAGAGTGGCAACATATTTTATAAGAAGTGTTTTTAAAAAAAATCACAAAAACCACTTAAATTTTGGGGAAAGAAAGAAAGATGCATATATCACAGTCTAGCTGTAAACCCCAACACTGCCAACCACCGTTTTAAGGGAGAAAGGAGAATAAGAAGATGAGTCTTTATTCAACAGATCCGTTGAATTGGGAGTGCATCTTCCTGATAGTCAAGGAAGGAACCAACAGTCTAAATACAATTGAGGCAGATTTGTAAAACGTATGTGCACATAACTCTCAGGTTTTGGAAAAAGACTAAAGTTCGGAGGTGGACGAAAACTTAGATCTTTCTGCTGGAGTTTACAGCTGGTCAACACGAAGAAAAATTCAGCAATTACAGTTTTGCTTTCTTTTACAGAATTGCTAATGCTCTTGTGAGTGGTTGCGGCTTGAAAAAAGGGGACAGAATTGTTGTTATATTACCGAAGATTCCAGAATGGTGGTTCATCAATATTGCCTGTATTAGAGCTGGTAAGTTTTGTGTGTGTGTGTGTAATGTGACTTCCTGGCATGTTTAGTTACCAGCTGAGTTAAAAATGATATCACAGCACTCGTGACACTCCCATAAGTGCTCAGTCCCCATCTTCACCAGCAAGCTAAGAGTTCCAATTCTGATGGTACCAGTAACCATCTGATTGTATATCTGTCTCATCCTTCCCCTGAGTTGAACGTCAGCCAGATCCCATTAGTAACTCCTCGGAGCGCCATTCTCCTTATACCTTAATGATCCATCTATGCATCCACACTGTTCACTCGCTCCCAAAGGGCCCTAACAATATCTAACTTGTCATACATCAGTTCACCACCAAGTGGTACAGAGCCAGCCAGTCTATATGCCTGCTCATTTCCCAACACACCGGCATCACCTGGAGAAAATATCCCAAGGATGCTAACTACCCGGGACCTCTAAAGTGATGCTTGCCAGTCTGCACAAAGCATGCCTGTTTTCATCTTTCTCAACATGCTCTGTTAGTCAGTTATAGTCACTGCATGTGTGTACAGCTGATTCTCAAGCTAGCAAAAGGCAGAGGAAGAGTTCCAGTGCTAATGGTAGCTGTAGCAGTTTGATTATATATCAGTTCTATCTTTCTCTGAATGTATAGCAGGAATATTTACCTAAGTAGTTTAATCAGGGGCCAAAATGTTGAAAAGAGAGGCCGGTAGGGACCAGAGGCCTGAGCCCCAGCCTAGAAGGATCATTAATACATCTTTTTTGTTCACCGGCTATAAGCTCTGACGGAAAGTCCTTGTTGTTCGCCCATTTGGACTTTAGCGTTGTGCTAGGGCCTGAGTTTTGCATGCACACCAGTTTTACTGGTTTATTTATTGCAGTTGGTTGTTCCTTGCTGCTCGGGGTGATGCACCCCAACTTTGAAGGAAATCCCAAATTAGTCGACTCCTATGACATGCTTGTTGGGGGAGTCTTATTTTTTTTTTCTACAATGGGAGCCTCCGGAACACTCACGTGGAGAAATCTCATAAATACAGCACACGTGGCAGTGATCCGAGGGCTACTTGCTAGGCCTCGGGCGTTGGGGTGGGGGGGGGGGGGGGGAGGGAGGCCAGGTGAATAACCCTAGTAGTGTGTCAGTAAAATCACCTAGTTATGAAGAAATGAAGATCAGCTTGTGCAACCCATTATGTCTTCATGTCGCTGTTGACACATAAGATATTCACACGTGATCTCCATTGCTGCTTTTCTGCTGATGGTAACCCATGCCATTTAACATTCTTTCCTCTTCTTTTTTACTGTCCTTGCAGATTTCCTCAGCTCGTCCGTTCCCCCCCCCCCCCCCCCTTCCCATCTGTCATCCATCAGAGAGCTGTCCTTGCAAATGTGTCACGAGGCATTCTGCTGAGGTAACTAGAGGCAGAGAAGAAGATCAAAATATCCAAAACACATCAGATGTTGTCTCCTAATGAATTTAGTGCATGGTCCTGTGATTATCATACTTCTAATGCAGTCTGTTGCATGCTTTGTGTCACAGGCATCACCTTAATCCCAGGGACGACACTTCTGAGAACCTCGGACATCTACCATCGTCTCAAGCTTTCACAAGCAAACTGCATCATCACAACAGCAGACTTGTCTCATTATGTAGACGAGGTGAGTAAAGGAGTTGAGCTGAGTCAAGAATTGACATCATAGCACTAGGGGCATTTCAATATGTGCTCCGTCCACACCTTCATCAGCCAGCGCAGAGTTCCAATACTAATGGTACCGGTCGTAGTCTGGTTATATGTCGTAATGAGTGTAGTGAGCCGGCCAGACCCTTTAGTCACACCCAAATGCATCATTCTCTCCTGGCTATAATAATCAAGTTTCTCTTCTGACATCGTTACTTGTTCCCAAAGGGTCTTGACTACATCTGCCTTGTCATGTTATCAGTTCACACCCAGTTTTGCAGATCTAGTCAGTCTGTCTGCCTGTTCATTCCCCACCATGCCGGCATGTCCTGGAGAAAAGATTCAAAGTATGCGTACTACCCTGACCTTCCCAGTGAAGCTAGCCACTCTGCTCGAAGCATTCCTGTCTTCACCTTTATCAGCATTCTTTCAGAGTCTGTTACAACTACGACATGTGTATGCATCTTGTTCTCTAGCCACTGGCAAGCTGCAGTGACCGCCTCCACCTCCATTTTTATGCTAGATGTTGTATCGTATACTAGGCTGTCCTGCGCTAAAGAATTTCCATTAGCTTTCACTAAGATCCCCCAGGCACATTTTTTTCCCTCTTAACACAGAACCATTTGTATTGATGATCAGATTACCTGGATGAGTATTGTCATGAATCAACTGTTGGACTTCCACTTCCAAAGCCCCTGCTGGCCACTCTCTGCACTCCCTGCCTAATGTAGAGGAGAGCCTGGTATCTAACCGTGTTTATTCCAGTGCGGGTTCTGGAATCCCATGTTGGGGGCAAAAAAAAAAGAATAGACCCTCTGCCTCTCAAACAAGCATGCTGTGAAAGACGACTAATTATGGATTTTTTTCTCCAAAGTCAAAGTGCACCTTACTGAGAGACGAGGAACCAACAGTCTGCATATGGGTAAGCCAGATTTGTGAAGCGCATGTGCAACCAAAACATACATTTTAGAACAACATTTCAGAAGTGGATGAACAACTAGGACTTTTTGCTGTTTACAGCTGGTGAACGCTAAGAAGAAGTTTCATTCATAAGTTTACCATTTCTGGCTTTCTTAAACCTTTAGGTGGTTATCACCATGTGCCTTGCCAGTTGGTGTAGGATATTGTTTTCCAAACTTTTCTAAGCTGTGGCGCCTTTTTCAATTAAAATTTTTCCACTGCACCCTAACCTTAGTAAAAGTATGACTGTTTGAATGCAAGAGATAAATAAAACTCAAACTCGTGTGTCTTCGAATATTTTGTGGCATCTCTGTGAAGAGGTCGCGGCTTCCTGCGGCGCCGTGGTGCACAGTTTGGAAATCACTGGTGTAGGCATTTATGCGTCTCCCAGATCTCTTGTGTTTGGTGTTCTGGATCAATTTCACTGATGACATTTCTCCATGCCACTGTCTTTCCAGGGATCTTTCCAGTCGTCAAAATATTTTAAAGTGCTCCTTTACTGGTTACATGATGATATACCCTGTTTTTAGGTGATAAGATGGGTATGTTTATCATAGCCAATTGAAATCTAGGTAGATTTAATGAATGTATCTATATATCTATTCTTGACTTTGTTATGTGCTTCTATACAGTTAAAAAATAAATTAATTAAAAAATTAATTTAAAATTTAAAAAACTCTACTAAATGCCTTATTGCCCTAAAAATAATACCTTACCCAAAGACAGCCCTAGTCTCATTCTTCACCATGCTTTTAAAATAAGCCCTATCTAAAAAAAAATAAATGGCCCAAGTTAAGATCGTCAGATTGAACGAGAGACTTGTTGCAGAATTGCCAGTCAGTACTGACGCCATTGGTGCACACTTGATAATGGATGTGGCTCATAATTCAAGTTATGTCACTTGTTTTGTTACAGAAGAAGATCAGTAAAGTGTGACCTGTCACAATAATCAAGCACCTACCAATATACAGATAAAAGGGGGTAAAACTAAAAGTTGAAACCTTTAAATATCTTGGCAAATATCTACTGATGGCAGCTGTACCAAAGAGATCAAGACAAGATTTGATGTGGCAACAGCTGTGATGTTGCAGCTGAATACGATGTGGATGAACCAAATCAGCGTCACAGTTAAGATCAATATTTACAAAAAACTTGTATTATCTATTTTCTTAGGGGTGTGAGAGATGGACTCTCACTGTGGAAGATGGAAAGGAGGATTCAGGCTTTCAGGTGTAAATACTGTAGATGCCTTTTACGAATTAGTTATTTAGAAGACAAAACTAACAAATATGTCAGAGACAAACTATACAAATATACAGGACATCTTGCCTTTTTTGGCAGTGGTGAAACACTGCAAGCTAGCTTGGTATGGGCACGAGGTGAGACATAATTCGACTGCTTCAAGGAACATTGGAGGTTAGTCGAAGAAGAGGAGGGCAAAAAAGAACCTGGAATGACAACATCAAGAAGCGGACAGGACTAAGTTATCACACACTTAATCATCAAGCGGAAGACAGAAAAAAAGGCGGGTTTTATGTGCTAGTGCTTCCTTCAAAACACCTCCACGACCCCAACGGGTCAAGGGTCATGTTTGTTGAGTAGTGGATCCTTTTTTTATGCCTTCGGCATATAGGGCTAGACCTATATTTTATAGACCAAATGGCACTTTGTGTGCGATGTGATCAGCTTCATGGGTACCTGATACCCACTCAAGGTCATTTTTTTAAAGAAAAAAGTCCAGAACCCACGACCTCCAGAAGAAGACATGAATAAATGTAGAATTTTGTATATGAATGAATGTAGATTTTTGTTTCTGAAAAAAAAAAAAAAAACGCTTAGTGCATTTTTTCGGAAGTAAAACGCGGTCTTATTTCTGATTAACGCAGTTTGACGGGCAAATTATCCACTAAAGGGTTAATGATTCTGCCGTGTGAGTGTGCTGAAAAGGTCCAAATCACTTGTGATGCCTGGGTACATGAAAGCTAGCTCTGGCAGACTGAACACATGTGGGAACATATCTGTGTGTAGATATCAGATCAGATGTTTCATCGTTTCACAGCCTGGGTACATGAAAGCTAGCTCTAGCATCAGATCTCAGCCCTTCTACGTGGCAGACTGAACACTCGGGAACCAAAGTCCAGGAATGGTTTGAACAACCTGACCTTTCTGCCAGAGTTTACAGCCACTGTGCGCTAAGAATAAGAATTAATGACTTAATTATGCCAGTCTTTTTAACATATTTTGTTTGCTGGTATATTTTCAGGCCTAGCTGGCTAAATTTTCATGCACTAGTGGAAAAATCATCGGAGGAATTCAAGGTCAGTCAGCTGTATATTCTGTGTTGTAATGTTTGCATCCAGATTTATAGCTATAATAGTGTTTGCCTAATTGGACAAAAATGATTTAAAGTAAAATTGTTTAAATTAAAATAGTACTAACTAAACTTGTAATATTGAGCATAAATGGACAGATAAAAAGAATAATGAAGATGTCTTGAAAGAAACTGACTCACAAAGAGAACTGATTGCCCACATTAGAAAGAGACGATCTATAATCTACTTTTTTTGGTCATGTGATGAGAAAAAGAAAACTGAAGTGCATCTTTACAGCAGGAAAGTTGAAGGGGAGGAGACAGGGGGCCGAGAGAAAAGATGCTTGACAGTTCATGGCATGGAGGATCATCTGTGTCAGAGTTGATTGAAAGTACACGAGACAGAAGGTTGTGGATATACATGACTACCAGCGCCACATGGCATGGAAGATCATCTGTGTCAGAGTTGATTGAAAGTACACGAGACAGAAGGTTGTGGATAGACATGACTACGAGCGCCACACGGCATGGAGGATCATCTGTGTCAGAGTTGATTGAAAGTACACGAGAGAGAAGGTTGTGGATAGACATGACTACGAGCGCCACACGGCATGGAGGATCATCTGTGTCAGAGTTGATTGAAAGTACACGAGACAGAAGGTTGTGGATAGACATGACTACAAGCACCACATGGCATGGAGGATCATCTGTGTCAGAGTTGATTGAAAGTACATGAGACAGAAGGTTATGGATAGACATGACTATGAGCACCACATGGCATGGAGGATCATCTGTGTCAGAGTTGACTGAAAGTACATGAGACAGAAGGTTGTGGATATACATGACTACCAGCACCACATGGAATGGACTTTAAGAATAAGAATGTCAAATCAGTACTGATGCATAGAGCGACACGGAGAATAACTAAAACAGTAATAAACTGCAAACCTGCATTAACTGGTACCTGCACAGAATAGAGGGAATTAAGTCGTATGATAGCATCACTACTGTAGAGATTTGGGAGAGAACTAATAAAATTCCACTGAGTCAAGAGGTGAAAAAAAATGGTGGCATTGGATAGGACACAAAGCTTTAAAATCATTGTTTCTGTTTAGCGAATTCATTTCTTGATATCATATGGGCATTCACAGCACGCTCAGCGGGCAGAACAGTCAAAGAAGCCAACGGCGCATTCTCCATGACAACCAGCAGCATGACAATGGAGGTGATGGCTGTAACGCAAGCGTTCGCCTGGCTCGAAACACAAAACTACACCCACGTATGTACACTCAGTGATTCAATGAATATGATTCGGAGGGTTCGTTGCGAAGACAATGGCTTGAATCATTACAGAAGTCAACTGTGTGTGGAGTCACCTATATTTTTGTTCCGGGACACGCAGGCGTCAATAGAAATAAAAGAGCTGATAGGTTGGCTGGATCCGCTATCACTACCGACGGTCAGCCTACGGATCATGCTGATATTATTAATGCCCTCAGAGAAATGGGAAGGGTAGAGGACTTTGGGGGCAGTGAATCACCATCACAAAACAAGACGCACACCAGACACACCAGAAGACTTGTTAATCAACATAGAACTGGTACTATTAGCCATCGGATGTTGGGGTTCATACTGATGGGAAGATCTGAGCACCTATGGATATGTCCGGATTGCAAAGATGATAACCCAACTAACTAATTAACTAACTAACCTCAGTGACACACATTTTTTCAACACCTACATATCCAGAAGGAATGTATTTTATTGCAGAATATTCTCACAAAAGCCAATGAACCCATGATGATTTTTTTCACAAGTGGAACCACGGGTTACCCAAAGATGGCCGAGCACACGCATGCTAGTTATGGTCTTGGACATACTCTCACTGCCCGGTATGTTTTTGGTGCCTTCTGACCAATTTTAGTTATTGAAACTGCGCCCCCCCCCCCCCCCCCTTCCTGCGGAGAGTCACCGCAGTGTAGCGGCTAGACGCTCGCCTGCGGATCGGATGGTTGTGGGTTCAGGTCCTGGCTGAACCGTGCTTTCTTAAAAAAAATGACCTTGGCTACCAGGTCCACTCAGTCTTGAGTGAGTACCAGATACAGTCCTGGGAAGTAAAGGCGGCTGGTGTGATGCTGACCACATCACCCTCCAAGTACCGACAGGTCTATAAAATATAGGTCTAGCCCTAAATACCCAATATGCCTGAAGACGGGGGAAAGGGTCCTTAAAAAAAAAAAACGAGTCCTAACTGCCCCCGTGTAGGTTCCAGGGCCTTATTTTGGTTGAGGAAAATAGAACCACTGCACCATAACAAAGCATCTTGTTAAATGAGACTAATTCTGAAATTGGATGTGCTAGGCCAAACAGTGCAGGTATTGCAGTCTAATTGTGAGTCACAACACAATGTGTGCAAACGGCCCTTTTAAGTGCGAATTCTGAAGAAGAAGAATCTGCAATCAATAATAAATTTCTCCATATAAGTTTCAAGGGCCCATTTGGGGGGGGGGGGGGGGGGGGGTGGATAGACCCTCCCTAACAAGCTTGTTGTGAAAGGATTTTTCCTCTGAAGTCCAAGTCCATCTGCCTGAGAGGCAATGAACCAACAGTCTGAATATGAGTAACCCAGAAATGTGAAACAGATGTGCACCCATGTTCTGGAATAAGACCCTATTTTAAAATTAGACGAATAATCGAAACTCTCCACCAGTTTACATCTGGTGAATGCTAAGAAAAAGAATAATAAATTTATAATATTAATTAATTGTTACGTGTGCAGGCTTAAAACTTTTTTTCTAAAAGTCTCATCAGCACAAAATTCTGGGCATCTTCTTCTTCTGCGTTCGACATCAGTAATGCTAAACGTTGAGTCCCATCTGCGTCACAAATAGGATTGTGCATTTAAGGTCGCCACCGGTCCCCTCAGCTTCTCTTGCAATGTAACTCATTGGGCCAAATCCACAGTCTTTGCTGGGAGAAGTTAGGGCAGTACTGCAGTATGGGCTCAGGGGTCTTTTTGCTCCACAATCACAAGTAGCAGATTCTTTTATGCCTATCCTGTGCAGGTGTGCTCGAAGACCACAGTGTCCTGTTCGAAGTCTAAAAATTGATGTTTGTTCTTTCCTGTTGAGTTTGATTATGCTATTCTCTCGGCATCAATTTTGAGACCATGCCTGGCCCATGAACTGTCATCCGTCTCTCGACTTGCCTTGTTACTCCCAGGAGACAGGTAACACCAGTATGCTTTTTCGCATAAGATAAACATCTTATACCGACAGAATCGCTCGTATGGAAAACACATACTTATTGAAGTTATGAAAAAAAAAATATTTGTTTGGGGGTTGCCACAACCTGAGGGAGCTGTTTTAAAAGGTCCCAGCATTAGGAAGGTTGAGAGCCACTGGTCTAGAAAATCAAGAGATGAGGCAAAGATGCTAGTGCTAGACAGGACATCCTTGTTCTTCTTAAAGTCCGTGCTATGTGGCGCTGGTAGTCATGTCTATCAACAACCTTCTGTCTCATGTACTTTCAGTCACCTCTGACACAGATGATCCTCCATGTCATGATGTCAAACTGTCCAGCACCTTATCCCTCGGTCTTCCTCTGCCTCTCCTCCACTCCAGCTTTTCTACTGTCAGGTTGTACTCTAGTTTTCTTTTTCTCACCACATGACCAAAGAATGTAGATTGTCTGTTTCTGATGTGGGCAATAAGTACTTGTCGTGAGTCAGTTTCTTTCAAGACATCCTCATTACTCGTTTTATCTGCCCAGGGTATTGTCATCATTTGTCTGTAAAACCACATCTCAGCAGCTTCCAAAAGACACACACAATGAGAAAATGTGATAATAACTAGAATGTCATGATGGTGGAACCCACAGAACACTAGAAGGAGAGGGAGACCTACAACAACACTGAGAATAGAACTTGAAGCAGAAGTGAATACTAATATGGGGAGGACATGAAGTGAGATAAGGAAGGTGATGAAAGACAGGACAATTGATATGAGTTGGCTAAGGGCAACTGCTCCTGTGGGAGATTCTTCCTCTCTTCTCTTCCCCCTCACCATCTTCTCCCTCATCTTCTTTCCTTGCTCCTCCTCTTCTTCACCATTTTCCCGTAAAAGAGGCATTTGGATTGCTGTATTGTGGTTTACAGCTAGTCTGTAAAATTTGCACCCTTCAGCCCAGCACATCTGATTTCATCAAAATCCTCCTAAACCGTCTGTTATGTTGGGGGCAGTGGGTCTCTTCTCTACGAGCCCCCCCTCCCTCTAAAGTAAAGCATCAAAAACTAAACAGAGGCAATGAAAGATAAAAGGCGTAAGAAGAAAACAGAAGATCATTATGTTTCTAATGTCAGATCAGTAGTGTTGTGTGGAGCGGAAACACAGAGAACAACTACAGTACTTACTAGTTAACTACAAACATTCATTAAATTGTGCCTGCACAGAATAAAGGGAATTAAATGGTATGATAGAATCACTAATGTAGAGCTTTGGGAGAGAACTAAACAAGTTCCAGTGTACCAAGAGGTGAAGAAAAGACGCTGGCATTAGATAGGACACACATTGAGAAAACCTGAAGGCAATATAACTAGAACGTTGGTGCACTGGAACCCACAGGGGCATATAAATCAAGGAAGACCAAAAAACACATGGAGAAGGGAGCTAGAGAGTGAAGCTAGAAAGATGGGGAGAGCTGCGTGAGATAGCGAAGGATAGAATGACTTGGCGTGATTTGGTTGAGGGCCTATGCTTCATTGGGGGTTAGAAAGGCAGAACAAGAAAAGAAAATATGTTAAAGATGTATTCTTCTTGTTTAGTGATTAGAAAGGATTATCATCACAGCACTCTGGACAGATCCATAGGTGCTCCGATCTCCTCCTCAAAAGCTCCACAAGTGTAAAACAACTGATGACGCCTGTTCTGTGTTGGTTAATGAAAAGTCTTGTCCTCTTAGTGAAATGTTCATTTCTTGCAGCTCCAGGCTTCACCGCCATGTCCATCAGTCAAGTCAGGGATACGGAGTCATGTCCTTTGGTTTGCTCCTTGGTATAGTAAGTGCAGCACATGGCATTGATAACATCACTTCTGTCCGGTACTGGACCAGCCATAGCAACCGCAGTGTCAGCAAGATAGTCTGCACGCTCATTCCCTTGAACACCCGCATGACCTGGCACAAAGATGAAGGTTGGGCAGCTATTCGTGAAGTGCTTAGTGTTGGAGTATTCTTGCTTTTCATACTTCTGTCATGTCATTGCCCAGGTACTGGTTGATGGTGGATCCTTCAAGTATTCTGTGGAACCTCTCAGACACAGGCTGGGCCAAGTGTGCTTGGTCATCGCTGTTTGCTCCTTGGATACATGGTTCTTGCGTGTTTGTCTACAACTCCAGCAAGTTTGATCCCCAGGAGGTGCTACAGGTTGGTTGGGCGGGTGGGGTTCTTCTTGATTGTCCTCTGCCTTTCATCACTGAGATTTTCCTGTGAGGGTTCTGGGGACCAAAGGTCATGATCCATGGAGAGACATGAGCGCCTACTCCGCCGGGTAGAGCCCATTTTGATAATGGTGGATTCTAGTGCTCCATTTGTTGGGAGAGGGGGGTTTAGATCCTCTGCCTACTATGTGTTGGCACTTTACGTCTTTCCAGACGATATTATATTGGGCTATGAGGAAGCATAGGACTCGCAGCCCGTGGCGATGGTGAATGAGATTGGCCTGTGTTAAAAAAGTCTTCCACAATTAAAGCTTTGGGATTTTAGGACCGTTGTTGCTGCTGTCACAAGCCCACATCACGTGAATAGCCACTAATAATTGGAGGTTTACTGAAATTGGATGTGTTGGACCGAAAGGCAAAGATATTGAAGCCTACCTGTAAACCACAGCATGCTAAGTGCCCTTTTGAGGGAGAACACATAAGAATCTCTCAGTGGAGCATTGGCCCTCCCACAACTCATCCCAAGCTCTTTGTAGACTTGTTTATAAGGGAAATAACGGAGCACAGTCGGTGATTAGAAGGCAGTCCAGATCTGTAAAATGTGCACATAAAACTCAAGAACAAAGTGTGCAGAGCAAGCTGTGGGGAACCATGAAGGACCTGCTACTGACATGTGAGTTCATAGAGGCAACCCACCTGATGGTCTGATCTGAGCATCCAAAACCAAACGCAAAGAAGAAGAAGAACAACAACAAGAAAGTCCAAAAGTTGACGAACATAAGAATTTTTCATCTGAGTTTACAGCCAGTGAAAACCAAAAAGGTGAAGAAGACTTTGAGACTTATGAAAGCTGAGATCATTAGGGGCAACATTAAAGCGCTGCATTGGAGGCAGACAGACTGGCTGGCTGTGCATAACTTGGTGGAATATGAGGCAGACTTGGTTAGGGACTTGTGGGAGGACGTGAACAATTCGGGGATGCAAATGGATCACCACAGTCTGGTGAGAGTAATGCAGCGGAGAGGGGTAAAGAGATCTGGCCGATACTCGACGCTAAGAGGAAAGGCAAGACAGATGAACGACGAACGAATTAACTTTATTTTTTTTAAAGGGTTACAAATTAGGCACGTAGGCCTGACTTACATTCGGCCCTTCCAAACTCCCATCTTTCACACAGCAGTTGTATTTCATTAATAAAGCATATTATGTTCATGTAATAATATGCATATTGTGAATATCAAGTCAAAAACAAAAGCATGGGTGATAAAATATGTGCGTACACTCGCGCGCGAACACAGACACCCACATGCACACGCAAACACATTCACTCTCACACACAAACATAGGCACCCAATACACATACATGCACATACATATGAACATGCACACACACACGCATACATACAAACATACATACATACATACCTATCTACCTACATACATACATACATACATACATACATACATACATACATACATACATACACACACACATACATATACACACACACAGTCACCCACACAGACATACGCTCTAAAACACGCGCGTACAACCTAGACACATTTAGACACACGCAGCTATACACACGCACATACATACATACATACATACACACACGTAGACGCACAAAAAGACCTATACAAACACACACGTCTGACACACACAGACATAAACCCACACAGACACACACACATACATACACACACGTATTAGATATAATCAGACTGCTACTGGTACCATTTTTAAATGAACCCTGTGCTGGCTGTTGAAAAAGGGAGCGGATCGCTTATGAAAATGCCCAGTGCTGTGATGTCAGTTCTTGAATCAACTCAACTCAGCTCAACTCATTGGAGCCATTTGTCAGTTGCTAAAAAGAACCTGTAAAAATCCCAAAGTGCCTAATTTGCAAAATATTATGTTTCAGGTTTTATCAGCCTACCCGATTAGCCACTTCTGTAGCTCCCCAACTGGCATGCGACTTATGAAAACAGAGAACATAAGCAGTGTTAAATTGAAAGCCTTAAAGCACTGCGTTGGAGCCGGGGAGCCTGTTGTAAGTTTTTACTTAATTGTTGAAAGTGCATTATTTAAAGCACTGCGTTGGAGCCGGGGAGCCTGTTGTAAGTTTTTACTTAATTGTTGAAAGTGCATTATTTAAAGCACTGCGTTGGAGCCGGGGAGCCTGTTGTAAGTTTTTACTTAATTGTTGAAAGTGCATTATTTAAAGCACTGCGTTGGAGCCGGGGAGCCTGTTGTAAGTTTTTACTTAATTGTTGAAAGTGCATAATTTATTAACAGTATTTGTGTACAAAATGTATAAAGGAAAATTAGTAACCATTGAAATGAGGTGTATGAGAAAGGCTGTAGGAGTGACCAGAAGATATAGTCAGGAATTAGGTCATACAAGATCAAGTCGGCACAGTATCAATTCTAAATTATATACAAAGACAGCAAACCAAATTTGTTTGCCCACTTGGAGAGAATGCCTTCTGATGCTATACCATTCAAGGCATATACTAAAAGAGGAGAGGGATGTAGAGCAAGAGGTTGAGCAAGAACAATATGGAAGGATAACATCAGAGAAACTCTACAGTACCGCGATGTGTCTTTGGTCGAAGCAGCCAGAAAAGCACAAAACAGGACATTATATCTCCCTTGACACCCGAAGCGGTAAAAGAGGACGTAAAGATGAAGTATAGAGGAGTTTTACAATGATAATAGCAGGCCAGACCAAGAGAGTCGTGAGTATTGGGAAGGACCGCCAATACTGAAAGCGTTAGTGGAAGATGCAGTAGACCACATGAAGAAATCTCCAGGGCCGGATAACATCTTGATTGACAAAATTGTTCAGAGAGAGAGAGAGAGAGAGAGAGAGAGAGAGAGAGAGAGAGAGAGAGAGAGAGAGAGAGAGAGAGAGAGAGAGAGAGAGAGAGAGAGAGAGAGAGAGAGAGAGAGATAAAACAGTTGACACATACCTGATTACATTCTGGAATCTATTTTTATACCTTTACCAAAAATTATAATGAGAAGAATAAGGTGCACAATTAAACAATTAGAGAAGAGCAGTATGGTTTTGTTGAAGGTAAGAGCACAAACAATGACATATGTATTTTGAATAAACTTTGAGAAAGAATGATTGAAATAAACAGAAATCTCTATTTTTGCTTTTTTTAATTCCACCAAAATATTTGATAAAGTGAAACATGAAAACATTTTTAGAATTTCTGAAACCTTAAACATTGAAGGTAAAGTTCTGAAAATAATAAAAAAGACGTACTGGCAACAAGAAGCGGTCATAAGGACGGACAAATAAGTTAAACTTTTCAAAACATGGAACAAGTCGTTAGAGAGGGATATGTACTGTTAGTCGATTTTTTTTCAGTTTTTACAGTGAAATAAAAATTAGATCCATGCATGTTTTGCCAGAAATATCTGTTGGTGGGCATATTGTTAACAGTCTGTGATATGTTGGTGATATAGTTTTGATCGGTGAAAAAGAAACACTATTGCAAGAAATGATGGACATAATTGTAACAGAAAGTGAAAACAAGGGTTTTAGTTTGAACAGCAGAAAAACAGAAGTTATGGTAATTAAAAAGAAAATTGACCTTCCGAAATACATCAAAGTAAATAGGACAATCCTCAAACAAGTTGAGATGCCTTAGTATTGGAACTGATTGGAAATTTGATTCTAATTTCATCTTTTTAGAATCCAGAACTGATTGAAATCTGGAAGAAAGACACAGGCCTGGAGATATTTGAAGGCTATGGTCAGACTGAAACAGTAGGTTGTTGTTTTTATTGTGTTGATGTTATTTGTTGCTGATGTCAATTGTTGCAATGAACCCCCCTCCTCCACAGATCTGTAAAACGGATGCACACGCAAGACTCAGGTTCTGAAACAGGTCCAGAACTTTCCGCCAGAGTTTACAGCTGGTGAACCCGAAGAAGAAGACTAAGATCATCTAAAATTTAATATTTTTATGTCAATTTAAAAAATAAATGATTTACTGTATACAAAAAAGGCTGTTTTGTCCAGCTTTTCTTAATTAGTATCATGATTTACTGTCTAGTTCTCTATGTGGGTTCCGGGGCCCTATTTGTGGGGAATCCAAGCATATACCTACTGCTCTCCCAACAAGCATGTAGTAAGAGTCGACTAATTTGAGGTATCCTTCTGAGTCAGGGAACATCTGTCTGAGAGCCAAGAAACCAACAATCTGCACACAATCAGGTCAGATTTGTTAAACAGATGTGCACACAACACTCAGTCAGATTCTGGAACAAGACCAAGGTTTAGAGGTGGACAAACAACCAGAACTTTCCATTGGAGTTTACAGCCAGTGAACACGAAGAAGAAGAAGACTGTCTACAGTTTGATGGGTTTTTCATCATCAGGCAGCAGGTCTTTTGCAGAATGTCGCTCTCATCACAGTCTGCATGAAAGAAACTTTGTCTCTCACCAGCTCTCCCGCCTCATGTACTTTCACACTCAAGGAGTCACATATATACCCTTGCCCATCTTCGTATTGGTTGTCCCCTGTCCCTCCTTACCGGTACCATGCTTTCTGCTATTTTTTTTTCCAATCAGTCGTGGCGCTTGATATGACAAAAATATTTCAACTTCTGAGACAGAATGCTATTTATTAGCCAATCTTTCTTGATGTTCAGATCTTCTTCTTTGATGGATTTGTAGTAGAAGTAAATAAAGTAATGATTTGCTGTTTCAGACGTTACTCTGCTGTCGCTCACCAAGCATCCCCTACAAGGAAGGTTCCATGGGAAAAGCTGCCCCTGGGATAGACCTTCAAGTAGTTGATGATGATGGAAACATTCTTGGACCTGGGACTGAAGGCAATCTGGCAATCAGGGTCACTCCCATTCGTCCTGTGGGTCTTTTCACCAAGTATCTGGTAAGCTTGTCTACTGGGTCTCATTCTTCAGCCTTTCTGTCTATGCCTTGGATTATTGTTGTGACTGTATAGTTTGGCTATCAGTGTTTGCTTGGATCATTTCCCAAGTTGAAGGAACTTTCGAAGGGATGTCACTGTTTTTGGCGCAGTATAATTTTGATAGATGATGATTTTTAGTAAAGTTGTTTGCTATTCGTTCATGGGCTTGTTGATCATGTGTTTAAATTTTCTGTTAGGGTAAGCACCTTGTCTTCCCTTTGGTGGCTCAAGCTTTGGAGGCCAGAAGTTGCCTCCAGCTGATTGATTGGTGTGCTTCTCATACCTCCAGTGATTAGAAAGAATTATCATCACATCACTCCGGACAGATCCATAGGTGCTCCGTCTCCTCCTCAAAAGCTCTACAAGTGTAAAACAACTGATGACGCCTGCTCTGTGTTGGTTAATAAAACATTTTGTCCTCTTAGTGGAATGTTAATTTCTTGCAGCTCCAGGCTGCACCCCCATGTCCATCAGTCTAGACAGGGATACGGAGACGTGTCCTTTGACCTGCTTCTTGGTACGGTAAGTGCAGCTCATGGCATTGATAACATCACTTCTGTCCAGTACTGGACCAGCCATAGCAACTGCAATGTCAGCAAGATAGTCTGCATGCTCGTTCCCTTGAACACCCGCATGACCTGGAACAAAGAAAAAAAATTTCCTATATAGCAACGTGATTTGTTGACAAACTTTGACCGATTCTTTGAGTTTTCAGTAACATTATTTTGTCACCTGTTTGTATCATTTCTTTTGTTGTTATAGAAGGACTTTGATTATTTTAATGCGATGGACTAGACTTGTTGCAGAACCTGAGTGTTGCATGTGCATCCGTTTTACAGATCTGACTCATTTGTATGCAGACTGCTGGTTTCTTGCCTCTCAGGCAGATGCACTCCCACTTCGAAGGAAGCTCCCAATTAGTCAACTTTTATGACATGCTTTTGGGTAGGCAGTGGGTCTATTCTAGTTTTCCCTATAACAGGACCCCGGAACCCACACTGGGTGTGGCAAGTGCACTATTGGCCAAATCGCTCACAGGGTGACTGTTGGTAAGTATAAAATAGGGGTTTAGCATCATATTTAGCATCATATCCCCCCCCCCCCCCCCCCCCCCCCCCCCCCCCCCCCGCGTGCGCGCTTCTTCTCCTACTCACCTCTTTGTTATTGTTGTTTAATTAGTTCATGTCGAGAAAGGCCCGATGAAATGTTGATTTGTGTGTTTTGTGCACGTGTTCAGCTTCCTATTTTGTTAATTTCTTGGTATTAGCTTGACTGCAGTCTTCCCTGCTTTCACTCATGCTCAGGAAAATCTCTGTCAGCTTCATCAGACAAATATCGATTTCCTCATTAAATGCATCACACAATCAAAAACGCACCTAATCTTTATTTTTGTGCCAGGCATGAAGATGTGTTAAGGCAATAAGCCTACAGATTTTCTGGGTTACCACGACTGACCCTTGCACTGGGCAGGAGTGATGCCATCAATGCTTTGCAAGCTGCATATCACAGAGAAGATCACGTCAACAAGCAAGACTCAGAATTCTTATCCAGGTTGGTGGACATGGAGATGCATCCTGGAGTTGCCAGATATGAGCATTTCACAAAGGTCGTAAGGTGTCGGGTTAATCAACACACAAGCAACGGAATCAGTAGAGAAAGAAGATTATTATGGCCTGGAGAAAATGAGGCACCTGGGTGTAACCACAGGGTCTAGCCGGCTCACTAAACTTAGAGGAAAGGCAAGACGAACATATAACCAGATTGTGACTGGTACCATCAGTATTGAAACTCTGTGCTTGCTGCTGAAGATGAAGACGGAGCATGCATGGGAATGCCGCGAGTGCTGTGATGTCAATTCTTGACTCAACACAACTCAACACACACTGAGCGTGATCGTTCATGTTACTCTTGGGAAGCTACTGAGGGGGAGATCACAGCATCTATGTATCTGTCCGGAGTGCTTTGATGATTGCCCTCACTAAACACTAATGAAAAAAGGTCCTTTACTTTACTTACCTAGATAAACATGCCCGTTGATGCCAGTCTTTTTTTTTTTTTTTTCTGTCCGACTTGTTATGCCCTGAAGCATAACAGATGCAGTTTCCTGTCTTTTGCTAGTTTGTGTAGCTTGCGTTATTGTCATTGTTTTTGTAGTGTCTCTTACTCCATCCACCCATTGCTTGTACCCGATACCCACTCAAGGCTGGGTCGACCTGGGAGTCAAGGTCATTTTTTTTTTTAAAGTCCAGCTCCGCCAGGAAGTGACCCCATGACCTTCCGATCTGCACACAAGCGTCTAGACGCGACTCCCCACATGTATATTTTTCTAGGACCGTCCATGTCTGACATTGATAGCACACATTTTTTTTTAGTATGCATGTTAATATTGTGATGCCTGAGAAGTTTGGTCATTTTCATGCTAATAATGGCACAAAAGCGGTAATCAAAGTTTGATTACTTTGTTTATAGTATTGTGGCTACTGTCTCTACACAGAATGATCCTGACCGCACGGCAGAGTCATTTGTTGGGGACTTTTACCTCACCGGGGATCGAGGTTACATCGATGAGGACAATTACATCTTTTTTGTCGGTCGCGCAGATGATGTGATCAGTTCGTCGGGGTTAGTTGCCTTATTTATGGTTTTGATTTGTTTGCCAGTAATTGCTTTTTTAGTGTGGTACGTTATTGTTTTTTGTGTGTGTGTGTGTTAAATAATGATGTATGTTCCCTCTTATGGGTTCCCTCAGCATCTGTGGCTTAGGCGTTGCGAACGCGCTTTGTAATGATGGGGTGCCAAGTTCTGTCCTAGTTATGGATGGTTTGTCTTGCATTTGTTTTGACAGTGGTACCGAGTGCTGACCATTGGGAAGCAATAACAAACTACTGAACGTAGAATTTTTCTAGAAAAACCACAACAGCCAAAAAATGCTGGGTTTGGGTCTGCAGCGTCCTGTAAAGAATACGCAACTAACTTTAACTTATGGGTTCCAGGGCCCTACTTTGGAGGAAAAAAGGAACAACCCCACTGCCCCTGGCAAACATGTCGTGAAAGGTTTGCTGAAATTTGATGTGGGCCTAAAGGCACAGATATAACAAATTTCAATAAACTTTTGCAGATATTCTTTGTAAACTTTTCTACAAGGTATTAAAAAAAAATATTTCATTGATTTCTCTCTTCTGCATAAAAAGAAAAGTGTTTGGCACATTGTGGCGTGATTTACAGCTAGGCTGCAATATCTGTGCTTTTTTGGCCTGATACATCCAATTTTATCACTCTTAATTAGTTGACTTTTACAACATGTTTGTTGGGTTTCAGTAAATTAAAGGACCCTTTTCCCACGCCTAAAGGCATATTGGGTATATAGGGCCAGACCTATATTTTATATACCAATCAGCACTTGATGGGTGATGTGATCAGCACCATGCCACCCGCCTTTACTTCCCAGGACTGCACCTGGTACCCACTCAAGGTTGGTTTGACCTGGAAGCCAAGGTCATTTTTGAAAAAAGTCCGGCATTGTCAGGACCCCCGAACCTATGACCTTCCGATCTACAGGCAAGCGTCTAGTCGCCATACTACTGCGATTTCCTGTTAGAAGGCAGTGGGTCTCTTTATTTCCCCCCAAAATGGAGCCCTAGAACCCACACAGAGACGACTGTATTGAATTGAAACTATTCAGGAACCGACATCACAGCATCTGATACGTTCTCATAAGCACTGTGAATGAAATCTTCAGCAGCCAGCACTGTTCCAGATCCGATGGCACTTTAAGCAGTTTGTCCATCAATCTATCCATTCCTCTGAGTGTACTTCAGCCTGAACCCCTGCTCACTGCCCCTGCACCATTCTCTGCAGACCGTGATGGCGTGCACTGCTAAGCCATTTTATATGGCTCACATAAACCTAGTCACAATTATAACCAAAAGCTGCCCCGTTGGGGGGAGGGGGATCTGGTTGAATGTGACGATTTTTTCCACCGCAAAGCAAGTCAGTCAAGTCAAGACTTGATCCCAATTGACCTTGACCAGAACTAGCTTGGCGAGCATCAGTTTACCATCAAGTGCTGCAGAAGCAGCCAGTCTGTCCCTCTGTTTGTTTACCAACACACCTGCACACCCTGGAGAAAAGATCCAAAGGATGCTAACTACTTAGGACCTTGGTAGAGACACTTGCCAATATACACAAAGTATTCTTGTCTTTGCCTTTCTTTGTGAGTCTTACAGTCATGACGTATGTAGGCAGCTGGTTCACAAGCTGTCCTGTTAGAAGCAGTAATTGATTTTGCACGGATTGTATTTTAAATATTCATTAATTTTTGTGTTTTAAATTTAATCTTCATGTAAACATTTTTTTTTAAATATTTAATTTTTTCTACAAATAGCATTTGAAGAATATATGAAATTGATTTATCCTGTTTTGTAATAGGAAAAGTACGTAACTGCATCTATAGGTATTTGAATAAAAATATTACTGAACTAAATTGTCAAGAAATATAATGGAAATAGTATTTAACTGAGTTGATTCAAGAACCGACATCACAGCACTGAGGGCATTCCCATAAGTGCTTCATCCCCATCTTCAGCAGCAACACAGAGTTTCACTGCCAGGGGTGCCGGTAGCTGTCTGATTGTGTGTCAGTCTTGCTGCTCCTCTGAGCATGGAGTATCGGCCTGATCCTCTCATCACTCCTCATACATGACTCTATCAGACTGTGAGAGTTCAGTTTTTAGCTGAATCTACAAATATTGATTTAGAAACATTATTTCATTGATTCTGTAGGGTCTGTAATAAAAACAGTTATATTCTTTATTCTTCAGCTATCGAATTGGTCCATTTGAAGTTGAAAGTGCACTTCTAGAACACCCAGCCGTTCTAGAATCAGCAGTTGTTAGCAGCCCAGATGAAATACGAAAAGAGGTGCGTAACCCTGGAAATTTTTTTTTGGTCTAGTTATTCCTGTCCAAACATTAGAAAAGAATCTGTGTCCTAGGGATAATTTAAACCTTTGAGTAGGACATCATTATCTGCAGTTTATTTCCTAGTTTCCCGTTGAGGTTTTAGGGACCGGTTATGCACCACTTGGTGGTGAACTGATGTATGACAGGCTGGATATTGTGAGGGCCCTTTGGGAGTGGGTGAACAGTGCCAAGACACAGATAGATCCTTACGGTCTGGGGGGAATGGCACTGTGAGAAATTACCAGGGGATCTGGCAGACGCTCGACACTCAGGGGGAAAGCGAGACGGATATATATAATCAGACAGTTACTGGTACCATCAGAATTGGAACTCTTCGTTTACTGCTGAAGATGGGGACGGAGCGTTTATGGGGTATCCTTCATTCAACATCATTAGGTTCTAGGGCCCCATCTAAAAGGAATAAAGAACAGACCCACTGCCCCTCAAACAAACATGTTGTAAAAGACGACTAATTAAGGGTGACTGGAAATCGGGTGTGATGGGCTGAAAGACATAGATATCACAGTCTAGCTGTAAACCACAACTACCCTGTTATGGGCGAACACAGAAAACAAGAAACAACACCCTTGTGCTATGTGTGTTGTGCGGGCTAATGTGAACTTTTGTTTCCTTTATAGCAATGTATAATCCACTGCCTGCTTGCTAGATCAGGTCCAGTTTTTAACTCTGTTGCCCCGAGAATTGCAAAACTCACTTCCAGTTAGAGCCAATTTCCTGTAAAGGTCACCTGTTGATGAGACATATAGTTAATGCTGTTGGCTTTGTTCACACCTGCGCAGACATTTGTGAGGTCAGGATGTGAAAATAATAACTAGAAATAGCATTTAACTCAAATTATTTTTTTTTTAAAGTCAAGTTGACATCAAATTTTCCTGTATGCCTCAGTGATAGAGGTAACGAGGTATCATCATAAGTCACAGGATAAATATATTGTTTAGGATGTGCACACAAGACTAAAGTCCAGAGGTGGACAAACAACCACAACTTTCCACCAGAGTTTACAGCCGGTGAACATGAAGAAAAAGACGTAGAAGAAATTTATAAGTGACCTGTACCCAAAAAAAAATGTTTAAGTGTCTCTTTAAAAAAAAAATAGAATTCCCACAAGGGTATGACCAAGTTTTTTGTTTTGTTTTTTGTATTACCAGGGTAAAAGGGTTAAGCAGAATTTAATTAGGTGAATCCTATCTCACCTGGGGAGCTTAGCTCTAATTAGTGTATCTTACAGCTTTAGTTCGTCAGTAGGCACCACTTAGGCATGAAGTTGAGTTAAATGTCTTGTGGACTATTGGCAGGTTACTAAAGTTAAACTTTCCTCCTCTAATGGGAGAGCCAGTCAACCTTGACACTGCTGCTTTGCAGGAGTGAGTGAAGAGAGTAGATGAACTAGGATCGCCGCACACTGAGTGATTAACACCTGTTGACCCAGCGAGTCATTATTCGGATGAGAATCCCCCAGGTACAAACCCCAAACCCTGTTCAACAGTAAGTTTATATTGGGACCCCGGACAGCTATGAAGTAGCCTGAAATCTGGACAGGGTGGGGTGGTTTGCTGGGCCAGGCAAAGGGTCATTACTCTGCCAGTAACACAAACATTTTCTTTCTCATTCTTAGAGATTTTCTCCAGCTCAGAATGAGAAAAGAATCATTTTTGAATATCATATGGTACAAGTGGATATATAATTGTATCATTGCAAATAGCTATAAGTTATGCTTTGGTGATTTTTAACAGGAAATTGAAGATGTTTAAATTTTTTATTTTATTGTTTAGGTCTAAATTTCCAGAATATTCATTTTCTTTTGTTGTTGTTTTTGTAATTGATGACAAGCACAGGTTATTGAAGAGATTACTTAGAGAAATTAAGCTCTTTATCATGGAATGAAAAAGCACTTGTCAGAGTTGATTTGCAATATATGAGATAGATGGCCGCAGACAGGCACGATTACTGATGCTATACACCATGGAGGAACATCTGAGTCAGCAATCATCGACAACCAAGGAGAGTTGGCTTAACCCTTTCATCTCGGAAAGGGCCATAAACCCAGTACTTACTATAATTTTTTTTTACATAAATCGCTAATAAAGTTTTTTTTAAATGTCTACATGCTCCCCCACCCGAACCTAAAAATGTATCAGGTGACCAATACCCTGACCCAGTGACCTTGTCCTAATTTTAACACCAATGCTGTGTGCAAAGTATGATGTCAGAGTGGCTTTAAAAAAACATTTAGTTTGCAAGGGTACCCCTCCCCCCTCCCATTACTTTTTAAAATAAATACATTTATATCCCGACCTTAAATGACTGCGCAGGCACAAACATAACCAGTAGCATTAATTAGACTTCTTGGGAACAGGCCACTTTAAAAAATGCTGATCAATGTGCATTTACGGGAGTGTGAGACAAGTGGAAGTAATGAGATTCCCTGCTTCTTGGGGTAAAAGGGTTAAGGCTGACTGCCTCACCCCATTGCAAAGGGTCTCTAGTAGTACACTGGAAAATGAAAGTTAAAATAAAAAGATCAGAAAAATAAACTGCCTCACTTCCTTCTTCTTCTCCTCCCTCCCTCTCTCTCTCTCTCTCTCTCTCTCTCTCTCTCTCTCTCTCTCTCTCTCTCTCTCTCTCTCTCTCTCTCTCTCTCTCTCTCTCTCTCTCTCTCTCTCTCTCCCTTCCTCTCTCTCTCCCCTCTCCCTCTCTCTCCCTATCTCTCTCTCTCTCCCCTCTCCCTCTCTCTCTCTCTCTCTCTCTCTCTCCTCTCCCTCTCTCTCTCTCCCCTCTCCCTCTCTCTCTCTCTCTCTCTCTCTCCCCTCTCCCTCTCTCTCTCTCCCCTCTCCCTCTCTCCCTCTCTCTCTCTCTCTCTCTCTCTCTCTCTCTCTCTCTCTCTCTCTCTCTCTCTCTCTCTCTCTCTCTCTCTCTCTCTCTCTCTCTCTCTCTCTCTGCCTGCCTGACTGTCTGTCTGTCGTAAATAATCGTAAGAAAATAATGTGTTGTCAATGAGGTTCTTAATTGGTTTGTGGGGTGTTTACTGCCTAGGTGGTGAAAGCATTTATCAAGTTGATGCCGGAATATGAGAAAGTTGATCACGAGGCCCTCAAGCAGGAGTTACAGAACCATGTGAAAGCTGTCACCGCACCCTACAAATATCCTAGAAAGGTATGGCTTGTGAGGATCTTCATTATCGCTGTCATCAACACCAGAATGAATGTCATCAGTATCATCATTAATATCGTTATTACCACCATCATCATCATTAACATCATTGTCCTCATTAACATCAATATTGTCATCAACATGGTCATTAATTTCATCATAATTAACTTCACTGTCCTCATTAACATCACTATCATCATTTACATCACTATCAGAGTCATCATTAACATCACTATCATCATTTACATCACTGTCATCATTAACATCACTATCAGCATCATCATTAACATTATCAGTACCATCATTATCAACATCATCATAAGCGTCACTATCAACATCATCATTAACATCACTGTCATCATCAGCATCAACATTAACATGACCATCATAATCATTGACATCTTCATTGTCGGCTGCCTGGTGAGCTATGACTTATTTTTGTTTTTGTTGATAAAGACCTTGATCGAAATGTTTGCTTGAATCAGTGTGTCTACTCACATGTCGGTCTTCCTAGTGTGCCTACTTATTCAGTACTATTATGTTAACAAGAGCACTAATCACTTTATATATATATATACACACACACACACACACACACACACACATATATATATATATATATATATATATATATATATATATATATATATATATATATATATATATATATATATATATATATATATATATATATATATATATATATATATAAGTAGCAGACCATTTTCCAAGGCTTCAGCTGTATAGGGCATTTAGGGCAAGACCTATAATTGTAGACCAATCGGCTCTTGGTGAGTGATGTGGTCAGCATCACGCCACCCGTCTTTAATTCCCAGGACTATACCTGGTACCCGTTCAAGGCTGGGGCGTCCTGGTAATCAAGGTCATGTTTGAAAAAAGTCAGGCTCCATCAGTGCCCGAGCCCACGACCTTCCGATCCGCAGGCGAGCCTCTACCCACTACACCACGGCGACTCCCGTGTGTGTGTGTGTGTGTGTGTGTGTGTGTGTGTGTGTGTGTGTGTGTGTGTGTGTGTGTGTGTGTGTGTGTGTATATATATATATATATATATATATATATATACACATACATACATACACACACACACACCTTGTAATGTATTTGTCATACTTATCTCTCCACAAATCTATAAATAATATCGGATATCCCGTGGATGACAGTTTATTATTTGTTACTTTCTCCAGATTGAGTTTGTGGATTCTCTCCCGAAAACTATCAGTGGGAAAATCCGCAGAGTGGAACTTCGCAATAAAGAGTGGGGTGTAAAGTCATAAGCTACAACTCTTTGAATGTATACCTATTCAAGAATTTATGAGTTTGTGAACAAAGAATCATAATTCTGAAATTGTCATTTGCCATCATTATTTTCTACTTCTTTCTTCTTTTGCCTTGTATCCCCCCCACTGAAGCATAGGCTCTCAACCAACTCACTCCACATATATGGCCAGGTCATTCTCAGCTTTGCTATTGCATGCAGCTCACCCCCATAACCTTCCTATCTTGTTAACTTCATTCTCTAGCTCCCTTCTCCATAGGTTTTTTGGTCTGCCTTTATTTCTATGCCTCTGTGGGTTCCAGTGCAAAGACATGTGTTCTATCCATTGCTAGTGTCTTTTCTTCCCTCTTAATTCACTGGAGTTTGTTTAGTTTTCTCACAAAGCTCAGTGTTATTGATTCTATAATACCATTTACCATTTAAAGACTGCTTCAAGGAACACTGGGGGTTGTCAAAGAAAAGGAGGGCAAAGAAGAACATGGAATGACAACATCAAGAAATGGACAGGACTAGGTTATCATACACTTATTCATCAAGCGGAAGACAGAGATAGATGGCAGGTTTTGTATGCTAGCTCTTCAATCTGTACACCTTAACCACCCTGACGGGTCCAAGGGTTATGTTATGTAATACCATTTAATTCCCTCATTTCTCTGTGTGCACCAGTTAATGAATGTTTGTAGTTTAGTGGTCATTGTTTTAGTTCTACAAGTTTCCACTCCATACAACAGTACTGATTTGACATTGGAATAAAAAGTAAAGTAAAGATTCCTCACTGCACCTTTAGGCGTATCGGGCATATAGGAAGAGCGCCCATATTTTTACAGACCATCAGCACTCAGTGGGTAATGTGGTCAGCATTACGTCGGCTGTCTTTACTTTCCCAGGACAGCCCATCCCGGTACCCATTTTAGGCTAGGTCGACCTGCGACGCACCGTACCATGATAAAAATGACATTGGAATAAACAAATTTAATTACTAGTTTTAATATTCTTTGACTTCCACACATTTCCTAGTGCAATGAATGCTCCTCTTGCCTTTTGTAATCGTAATTTAATATTTCTGTCAGTTCCTCCATCTTTACCTACATTTCTACCCAGATAGATGTACGACTCCACATCTTGTGATGTCAACAAGAGAAACTAGAATACTGCTTGCCTGATGTATTCTCATTATCTTTGTCTTCCCTTATGGATTTTTTTGACAGCGCTAAATTGGCCACTATGCATGTGGAAAAGTTTGTACAGGGTCTTTAGAATTGACCTGATGCAGGTGCTCGGTTCTTCTTGCACCTTGTTGTTGTTTGTCCATCATGAGTGATGGAGACCACTTTTCATCCAACGATGTAATGATCAATGATTATGAATTATGACTAGTCCATTATGAGCCTGGAAAGATCTTGATCAGTGAGGACAACAGGTGGAAAGCGCAGTCAGTGTGGGACTAGCGACATGTTTTTTTCTAGTCTGCCTCAGTTTCTCTGCCTGTGCAACCTCTGCCGCCTGGCAGGCTGATGCACCATGCCTGAGGGATGTACGCCATCCAGAACGGTCTTGTGCAGCAGCCTCCTAAGTCGCTGTGTTGATGCCAAAAGAATTGAGAGCGGTTCTCAGAGTGTCTTTATAGCACTTTTTCTGTCCTCCCTGGGACCTCTTCCCTTGCTAGAGATCCCCATAAAATACTCTTTTTGGGAGGCGATAGTCATGGGAGCTAGGTGACACACCCATTCTCTCTTAAACCCTACGTTTGTCGATTTCCAGCTTTGTACTGCGGTAGATTTCATTGTTGAAACACTCGAAGCACTGCTGCAATTCACCATCAGATACAGACAAAAAATAATAGAATACTCTGTCCCTCAGATATTTTCAATGTTCAATTAATGAAGCCTCAAGTACTTACAAAACAATTGTGTATCACTACAGTGCAGACCTAATAAGGAGAACTCACGGTGGACCCAAGAAATGGTTCTTCTTATCAGAAATCTGTCGTATTCAGATAAGAATTCTAGCAAGAAAAATTACCTGGGATAAACAAATTGTTCTTCACAACAAAAATTCACCACATCCTAGATCACCAAGAGTGGTCTGCACCGTATTCACTTTAGTATTCGACTATCGCTACATAAATATAATTTTGGGGTGGGGGGGGGGGGCATTAGGGGCCTCATTCATTTGGTTTGAGACAACACTGGCCCACCCCAAAATGAAGTAAAGAATGTTTGTTATGTGGTTAACAGTTTAAAATAGTATGTCTAGAAAGTCCTTTCTCAGGAACCGACAGGGTAAATGAAAAATAAGAATATCTAAAAATACAGAGAAGGGAATTAAACAGATAAATATGGGGTGGTTTAAAGGAGATGGAAAGAGATGTGTATTGCTTTGCATGAGGTGGTGGAGGATACACTGGTGAAGAAGAAAACTCAAGCACAAGCAAAGGACCCTTTTCCACAGCCTTAGGCAAATGGGGCCTGACCAACATTTTATAGACCGATCGTCGCTCCGGGGGGTGATGTGGTCAACGTCACCCAGGCCGCCTTTACTTTCCAGGACTTTTTTTGGTACCCATTTTAAGATCGGTCGACCGGGGAGCCAAGAACAAGGATGGAACAAGAATCTGGCTTGGTGGGGATTTGAATCTACGACCTTCTGGCCTGCAGGCGAGCGTCTAGCTGCTACATCAAACAGGCTGCCCAAGAATATTAAATTTGGCTATTCTCAGAAATACGGTCCCAAATTATCAAGGCCGAAAATATACCCTAACAGGGCCTCAGTCACATGTAAATTGCGGGCCTCTTTCCTGCGAGTATACCGCCACCATTCTCGGCAATGACTTTAACTCGGCAGAAGCTTTTCCACAGTATGCTGTGTAGTCGCCGGAAAGAGGTCCGCAATTTACATGTGACTGAGGCCCTGTTAGGGTATATTTTCGGCCTCGATAATTTTGGACCGTTATTAGGAGGATAGCCTTAAATTCTTATTAAAACAAATTCTGCTGTCTCCACAATGAGGTCGGCTGCAAAGTATCTGTTGCAGAGGCCCTAATTACACTCTTCCACAGTGCGACCCTAGTACCACTGTCTGAAGGCTACGAGAATAGTAGTTTTCCTTTGAGTATTGCATTGTGAAACAGTTTCACTAACCTCCAAGAAACAGCTGCACTGATAAAAGACAGGTGAAACCAGATATTCCTTGATGAAATGGCTGACAGCAGTGAATTCTTGACTCCGTTTGTATTTAAGATTAAATCCCTCACTAGACCCTGGAATGATTGTGTGATTGATGGCGTTGGGTGATGGAAAGATTGTGTGAGTGATGACATTAGGTGATGGAATGATTGTGTGAGTGATGACACTGGATGATGGAATGATTGTGTGAGTGATGACACTGGATGATGGAATGATTGTGTGAGTGATGACACTGGGTGATGGAATGATTGTGTGAGTGATGACACTGGATGATGGTGTGAGTGATGGCATTGGGTGATAGAATGCTTGTGTGAGTGATGACACTGGGTGATGGAATGATTGTGTGAGTGATGACACTGGGTGATGGAATGATTGTGTCAGTGATGACATTGGATGATGGAATGATTGTGTGAGTGATGACATTGGGTGATTGTATACTCAGTCATTTAGAATTGTTGTGTATCCACTTAAAATGATCATATAATTTCACAGAGGTATAGTATAATCAATTGGATGAAGTGTGTAATCATATATATAACTTGTATAATTGGTATGTTTACAGGTTTAAAATTATAATTAATTGTTTCACTATCTGTGTACAATGAAATAAATAAGCACCAAGTTATATAACAGATATTATGGTTTAGGTTTAGATGACGGATCAACATCATGGCACAAGGGTAGTAACCCATAAATTATCCGCTCTACTTCTGACTTGAGCCTGAGTCCGAAGAATCTCAGCGTAGTGAACGAAAGCTGTAGTGCTTGCGAGGATCCTGAAATACTTTTGGGTGGATTTTAACTCTAAATTTTGCTCGGGCAGTGCCATCAGACTAGTTTTTTTTTCACTTTCCAACTGACAGAGGATATTTTACGTGCACAACAGTACACATGGGTGTGTGATCTTACTACCCAGAGACCAGCGGAAATTACTTGAAGTTCACATGAAAAAATGTCAGCATTCACCAAGGCTTGAACCCGGGACCTCCAGCACTCGATGCAGATGCCATGTCTTGAGACCATGCAGCCCTCTTTTAGAATATATATTTATGTGTGTGTGTGTGTGTTATATATATATATATATATATATATATATATACACACACACACATACATACATACATACAGTGCAGACCGCTTGTGGCAAATTTCTGTTGTGAAGCAGTTTGTCCCTCCCTAGCAATTTGTCTTGCTTGAACTCTTATCTGCATAACATAAATTTATAATAAGAAGAACCATTTATTTCTTGGGACCCTGGTGAGTTTTCCTTATCAGATCAGCCTCATACTTAAATATTTCATTAAACACAGATGGTGAAATAATTAAATATAATTTTATACTTTTGTCCTATACATTGATTATATTTTTTACATTTTTGTCGGGTGTTGCTAATATATATTTTTTTTTAAATTTCTACCTAATACTATGTAAATTGTATTTTGATATTCATATCTGATTTACGGTCAGTGAAATTCTAATTTCTTTCTTGTGTCTAAAAACTGTCATATTATCTACATGTCAGTTACAGCAGTATAAGAGATTATTGTATCAATGTATTATTTACATACAAAACTTATTATATTGATTTATGTTTTATAGCATTTATTACACACAAAAATAAATGAATAAATTAAAAAAAATATTAATTTCATGTTTTTATTTGTGTTTGAGTTTACAGTGCATGTTTGTGTTTGAGTTTACGTTGTATACAGGAGCATAACTGTTATGTATTTTTTACATTATGTAACAATAATTATATGTATATAGATCAAATGTTAGTTTTTTATGTACAAGTTTTATAACCTGACTGAAA